GAAGTTCAGCCATTTTGAAAATAATTTAATTGAACTTAGACTGGTCGATTTGAGTTGTGTACAAAATTTCAAATTCCTATCTGCATTAGAAGTTAAAAAGTTTCTAATGTAGGCCCTAAAAGAATCACCTTGTATAGTTGGCAAATAAATGAAGCCGCCAATGATGTGATAGGTCTTAAAAAGCAGTGAAAAATTCCAAATTCAAGAGAAAACTTAACTTTTCTTTTTAATGAATCGAAATAATGAAGTTTTATTTACAGATTTGCTTCTTTCAGGTGAAGCAAAAATTTTTTTCCTTTGCAGTTTTGGCGTAAAATCAAAGATAAAAGAAATTCTTCTTATAAACTCAATCCGGAGACATACTGTACATACTCAATTTTTGTACTTTTGCTTTAATATTTTTCAAAATTATTACATAATTAAAAGCAAGAGAAAGGCCACTTGAAATATCTTTTTTATTCCTATATGTATTTCTTACATTCAGAGAACGAGGCTAAAACTGAGCGAAATGAGTCTGAGGGATTTAAAAGCAATTCATTTTAGCAACCTAACACCGCTATTTACTGCTCCGTGAAATAAAAGTAGTAAGACGAGCTCATAAATCGAAAGTAAATATCGATCAATAATTAATAGAAGATAATTGAATTTAGAAGTTAATTTCGCAGTAAGCACGACGTCGTAAAATATTAATCGACCAACGGAAAATAGGAACAATCACGCAATAATCAGTTTTGTCTGGCTTATCGTGGTGAACAATAATTTATTGAAAACGGAGTCGAAAGTAAATTTTACGGCCGACATAAAGCTCTCAAAATGCGCGAAATGCATAAATTTGTTAAACTTCAATAAAACGAACGCATGCATGGAATTTACTTGCTGTTACAATAATAAGCATCTGCATTGCTGTTTAATAAAATTCGTACATCCCTATCTCGATGCCAGCGGTGGAGTTTTTTCGATTTGTGGGTTTTAGGAGCGTTTCTTCTAATAGCAAGTAGACACGAACTCACTATTTCGTGAATTTTATCACACTAAGAATTACAGCCGAATATGTAAAGGTGAGGGAAATTTACGGTATCTTGCTTATCAGGGCGATCTGATAAATGTAATTGGCCGACAATGGTAAGAATAACAGTGAAACTTATTTGAAATAGATGAAATTTTATTTTAACACCCATCTCGTTTTCGAGACGACTTTTGGAGTACTAGCGAAAGTTTTTGTGAATGAAGAAATGTCTGGCCGAATTAATTCCAATTGCATTTAAATTCAACCGATGTCAGTTAAAAACTTCTTACTCATTCGTGTTCTACGAATTCGCTTAATTTATCCTTTCCCAGACGAATTGTATTCTGAAGGTGCCCTCGAAATTATCACTCAAGGGATGTTTTACGTTCGTTTATGCATCCTAATGAAGACACAGTACAACTCTCTGAACTGACAGCTAATCGATGTAAAGCAGGTATGTGAAAGGCAACACCACTATATTCCACAGCCTTGATCGATGTTTATCATTATAACGACAATAAGATGTTTATGGGGAGCTTATACGCAAAAATCGACAAGAGCTTTCGATAATGTAGTCATTTATCACGAGGGATCGCGGAAGGAGATTGTTTTCCATCATCTACGTTTCTACATATTTCTTAATTCTGCCCAAATTCGCACTCATATTTTTATTCATTTCTGACAGGTTGATTAATCGAAAATAAAATGGAATTTTGGCACAAAATATAAGAGCTTGAAAAACTCAATTCAGACAATTTAATGTAATCACACAGGGAGCAGCAGTTTGACGAACATCCGGAAATTTCCGGGTAGTTTAGAAATTATCGGCGGATATATTAAACACGAATTTGAGCTTACTTTTGCGATTTACCTACTCAGAACTTTTGGATCGAGAATCATGACCCTTAGTCGCAGTTTCGGAGTCGAAATTCAGTCAAGTATTTTATTTTTTGTAAAATTAAAATAAATCTACTTTTATAAACCGTAGAAAACTTCACTGCACAGGTGTGCGATTTTTTGAAAAGTTGTACCAGATCATAGTTTAGAACAGAGATTTAATGTTCAATTAATTTATTTTCACTATGTTGTGTTTTTTGACGAGATTTGCATTTGAAATAAAGCAGTTGATAAAATTATTGTAGGTACTTATTTTTTGTACTGTAGAATATTTTTTTAATCGAAAACGGGTACACATTTTAAGTAGGCACACAATTGGGTGCATTTTTCTAATTGTTTTTTGGTTATGGAATAGCTTTGAAGAAAAATTAAAGCTTCCTGAAAAATTGCAACTATAAAGTGATTCTTGTAGGACATACATAAACTTCCAATGAAACTACAGCTTTGAAATTGTGTACGCGACCAAAATCGACTTTTCTTGACTTAATTAAATTATTTTTAAAATAGCTGAACTTCTGGAACGATAAGAAATTGGCGCCAACTTTACAATTTTAAATGGTAACCACCCATTTTGATAGCACTTTTGAATTTAGAAGACAAATGAAAAATGAAAAAAAAATCCCAACTCTTGAACCTTTTGCAGTAGTGATTTTTTTTTGTATTTGATAATCGAAAGTTTGAAGAATTTCTTAATAACAGTATTTAAGAAGTATAGAATATGAGAGGAGTTTTGATAAAAGACCCTAAAAAAACATTTTTTTTTCAATAGCCGTTGAGAAAATAGGGTCATTTTACTTTAAAAACTGAATTATAGCCGTTTTTTGGCCATTTTCTAAAAATTATACTAGCCTTAAAATTTGACAATTAACAATCTTGAACTACCTTAGAAGATTCTTTAAACATATGGTTATTATGTACACGCAAAATATGTAGTATATTACATAACGAGCACGGAAAGTGATAAATAACGCACAAGCGGGAAAGTTGCACACGAGGCGTTAGACACTTTCCTGCAAGTTTTGTACACTATTTTTCCTACGACCATAAATAATTTTTTTCTTACGAGCAAATTTTTTTTAATAACGATTTATTTTTTATAATGGATACAAAAAAAATACGTTAAATGAAAAAATACAAAACATTCGAGTGTGAATTGTGCATTAGATTTCTAACACACAGTGCGAAAACAAATCGCACAGGTTTTCAACCTCGTATGATATTGCCAATTTTCACGCATTTGTAATTGTGCGTTATGATCTAGTTTCGTATATGGTCGTAGGAAAAAAATATTTACATGTCGCAAAGGGTTCATGCACTGATTAATCAGTGGTTCAAGAGGTGTGATGTTTTGAATAGACTCCGGCGAATAAGAATTTCATAAAAAAAACAAAATATTACTAAAATGTTGAGTCATAATAATGATTTGTAATCATACCTTTATGAAATAATCAACGAACAAGTTGTGGGCCAAGTTGGGAACAGAATTTTTGACTTCAGGACTGTAGGTATTTGGGTTAGTTAGCATGGTAAAGTCCCCAGTCCCTCGAGGTGAACGAGACTCAGAAGGGCATTAAGAAGGTTTTATGCTTTTTCGCTTATATCCAAAAAAATAGTTTTGTACAAAAGTAAAATTTTCTACAGATGGTCTTCTCGGGTTTTTTGAATCCCAAAAACCTAGTTTTTGAAATATTGGTTAGCAAATGTCGCTCTTTCTAAAAAACTAATGATGAATTAACATCGTACTAACGTAAGGATTGTTGTAAAAGTTGTAAGCATTGTGATTGGGTAGAGTAAGGTCGGCCATCATAATAATGTAAAAAACCAATCACTTTAGGTTTCTTAATTCATTCAAAAATTTTAAGAATTGATATGATTGGCCCGTTTATGTAGGCCATTATTATAATGTGCGTAACCATGGGGAAGCCAATCACGTTAGACTTTAGTTTCATTCAAGAATTTTGGGAAATTTTAATTGTGTTGCATTCATTCATTAAATACAACTTAATTACTATTTTTAATGAAAATGTTAGTTAAAATAGAAATGTTAGTGTTTTACACGTCCTGTGTCCTTACAAACATAACCCAAATTGATGACGAGGATACGGAAGTGATAATTTGAACATTTTCATGGAAAATGTGAAACATAACCTCAATATCTTGGAGGGAAGTAAGTATGAAAAGACCGTTTTTTACAAGCTGCAAAAGCCTACCATACAATTTGCAGTCTACAATCAACATCCCGTCACAATATTTTTTGCTGAAACTTGGGATTTAGGCATCATGACCCAAAGTACATAAGACAAAAAAAGTTTTTAAAGAGTGCGATATTTGCTAGGAGATATCTTGAAAACTATTGAAGATACAGAAAAAACGGAAAGATTGTCTTGTAGAAAATTTTATAAGCTTTAAGTTAGTAACACGCACCATAAGCGAGTAACCATAAAACGGCACTTTCTTGGTGCCCCCTGACCTCCTCTCACCTTGGAGAACTAGAGATTTTTAGTATGTTTACCTCCTAACTAGCTCAAACGTAGGCGTAAAATCAGAAATGTTGATCCTATCCTTGTACAACCATCTACTTTTTGAGCGCTAATTTTTTGTAGATTGGCAATGACTGTTCAAAATTGCAACTCTAGAGATAAGATGAACAAATGTCAAATATTACACTTTAAAAATATTTTAAACTAAACTATGTTTGTATTTTCTTTTTTCTTATTGGTAAAAAGTCACTTTTCTGGTTTGAGTACTTAAGGAATTTTTTCCTACTAAATAAAGTTAAATGCAAATGATCAAAGAGAAAGACCCGGAAACCACGCACAAATACTCCGAATGCAGTACACGCCAAGCCCTCTTGTTGATGTTTCCTTAAACAGAAGTGATGCAAACGAAATTGGCGTATTCCTTTATTGACATATCAGAAGCAGCATTTGCCGGAAACGAAGTGGTGCACCATATTCGCCTCAATATACTGGATGGTATCGCACTAAAACGTCGTTTCCTACATGCATGCTAACTGTTCACTTCTATCGTCATAGATGCACGCAAAGTTCCCATTTCAACCAGTCCATCATCAACACTCAATTTTTTCTTGTTCTAGATGTTGAAATCATGTCGGAAGTTGAGCATGACGGTTCGATCTCCCACACTTCCGTCGGGATTAACTTGCGGAGGCGCTCCTTGGCAAATGCGACAAACTTGCTCTTGGATGGATCGACATGGAAGGCCAGTGTCGCCTCCATTGGAATATGCAAGAAGTGGTCAAGTTCCAGCGCAGAGACACGGCTACGGCTGGAAAGGAAACAAAGACAGGAGCATACGAAGGGTGAGTTTAACAATGTTTATGATCACTTGGCAATAAATACGCGAAAAGCTGGAGATGCAGACATAAAAGCCATAAAGACGGACTTTGACAAATAATGCGAGAAAAATGATGCGATATTTGCTACAGTGTCACATTGAAATACACCGATTTTACGAGAGGATGCTTGTGATACACTTTGTGGTGAGATTTATGATGATGAACAAACGGCAGGGTTGATACTTCTCGGTCGGCTACTTCATATTATTAATCTTATCGTTGTGGTTCCCTTCTAGAATTTAATTTTCATTAGGGATCTCCTATTTAATTAGCTAATGCCTAATACCTTTATATTGTATCGAACAACGGCGGAGCATTAGGCATTTAATCTTCTTTAATTAGCAAATACGAGTACTCTACGACATGACATGACGCTAGTTTGTGGAGTAATGGATGTGGCTAGAGATCATATTTTGAGTGTCTACACTGTAATTAAATTAAATTAAAAAAGAATAAAGAAATGTTTTTTTTGTACATGCAAGGAGTGTGTCAAAGTTGTAGACAACATAACTTGAATTGATTCTTAACATTTTGAATAAATTTAAAATAAAAATAATGATAATTTTGGCACACTTTGTAAATAATGTTTTTAGAAGACTGTCAAAAATGTTTCTGTGGATGCAAAAAACTGTAATGGAAAGTGTGTCTAGAAGTTGAAATTACGATTATTTATAAAAAAAAATTCTTTTACTTAGGACTTGTTGCCTTTTTAATATAAAGTCTGTTTTTTTAATGGAAATTACCAAGTCAAAATTTTGGTAAAAAATTGGAAGCTGTTTGTCTCACTAGCCAACAATTTTGTTTGCTCTTTGTTTTTGTCCCTAGAAATTTGGTTAAAAAGTTATGGTTATGTTTTCAAATTGAGATGTTGTGAAAATTGTGACTTTGTGTACCTGTTTGCTTTTTGAAAGCGCTATAATTGAATACCTGAGGACAGACATTATTACCTAATGTCTAAAGACAGAATTCAGTGCTAATAGTTTTGATAGAAACGCACCGCAAGTAAGTACAATGTTGTGGACAAAAATGAGGATCTTGCTACAAAAACTTTGAAGAAAAAGGATGTATGTACAGAAAAAAATTATTTAGCAAAAGATACAAGTAGGTATTATGATGATTGGCAATAAATTTTGTGTAATTTATTGAAATGAGCTTAAAGTTGATGCACTTTATAAATTCTTCCTCAGCTTTAGCTTCAAAATTGTTACTTTTTCAACTCGTTCCTCAAAAACGATGCACAAGACACAAATTTAATTGCGTTCTTTTCGAGGTTTTTTCTCATTCATGTTTATTTTGTATTCTTGTCAATTTCTTGCTAAAAATTGAGAATGTTTAGCAAAGCTGCATTACAAATTGCGTCTACATTTTAACTTTCTGCTTGCGAACTATTCGCTTCCAAATTTCTAAAAACTGTTATTGGTACCGAATTTGTTCCTTTTTTGATGTTTCGTCTCTAAATTTTCTTAGACGATTTTTTGTGTTGACGTTTAATGACATTGTTTTCAAATTAATTAAAAAAACCGGAACTGCCAACTTCCTTTATTAAAATTACTATGAATGCATTTACTAGTGGTGCCAACGTTAATAAGACTGTTTGGCATTTTCATTAAAAAAAAAACAGACTTTAATATTTGTGATTTTTGCCGATTAATCTTGACAGGGAGAAATAAGGTTCAATGGAATCATTAAGCCAGCTTAATTTTACTTTGCTTTTAATTTAAAGTCTCGAATATTGCATTAGCGGTACTATAATAGTTAGCCACGATGAGTTAGTACCATGTCCACACTCCTGTAGGTATGTTATTTTGTTCGCTTTATTGTCTACATGCGAACAATGATGTTGTCTGCATTACATTTTTTTTTGCTTGGACTATGTGTTTTCTGTCTTGATGAGATGTATGCTAACACAATTTATATTGTATTGTAGGCTATATCGAGGTTTATATTGTCTTCAAGTTATTGTTTGCCGTTGCATGCGCAGAGTGATGGATTACAAACAAACCTCTGATAGCTGGAACTTCGAAATCGAAATTGAAAAAAAAAATGGACATACATTTATGACTTGACGAAATGAAACGAGTTTAATTAAATTACTCCCTCGTGGTTTTATCAAAAATTTAGTTCTAGGAATTTTGTGAATAATCAAACTATAACGCGGAAACGTAGTGACTATTATACGATTTTTTCGTGGATTTTTTACAACGTTGTCTGCCTTCTGCAACACACCATTGATTTTTATATGAGCAGTTGTGGCTTATTACTCATTACTTCCGCAACTTCTCGATTTCATTTCTTTGCGAACCAAGTTCGCTATAATATGCCTGCAGATTGGGGTTAAAGTGCAAAATTTTCCTTTAAATGCTGCACTGCAGGAACTGGCTACTGAGATATTATGTATTTACCAACTTAAATTGGATAATAAAACATTGGGCTCGTTTATTTTGACGGTTAAAGGCGAAAGAAGCGTAAAATCTTAAGAACTTTACAGTTTACCAACTAGGCAATTTATTAATCAAAAGATGATGATAATAATTGTTATTTTAAGTATAAAATTCGTTTCAGAGGGTGATTTCAAGAGCAGGTGCATATTTTATTTGTTTTTATGTAAAATTTCTTACTGCGGACGTATTGCTGGTTGCCCGAAAAATAATGTGATATAATTTGTATAATTTAATTTAAAGTCAAGTTTTGCTATCTTTGTTCTGAGATATTTTAATATTAAATGCCTTCAAGCTCCAAAAGTTATTCGGAACAGACGAGAGACTAAAATATTGAAAAGTTTTTGCCATGTCAGTCAAGATGAAACAAACTTTTATTGAATATGTAAAATCTCAAACAATAGTAGCAAGAAAAATAATAATTTTCAATTTAGTTTTAATAATCTAGATGCAGATACATATTTTAATTCATTTCGGAAAAATCAATACTAGGAATGAATTGAGGAAAGAAAATTAAAGAGCTGCAGGAAAATCATTGTCGTAAAGCCATCAAAAACATTGCAGTCATAAATTGTCTGCCTTGATTCAAAAAAACAGCAACAGGTATGAGTAGAGTAAAGCTTTGGAGCAATTTTCGCCGAATATGTTTGTATTTTAATGAAGAGATTACTTCTGGAAAAATTAATATCAGCGAAATGTTCTGTCAAAGTTTGTGAAAGAAGAAAAACAAACACGTTTACATTAGTGTTAATATTTTTACATTAACGTTTGTACTTCCATAAGAGTTTTTTATGCTCTAACAACTTCTGAAGTAATTATAATAAATTTTTTATGTTTTATGAAAGTTAATTTGTTGTAATGTATTAATTGTGTGTACGCTCATGAATACTGTGGGTGCTTTTTTAAACTACGTTCTGTGTCGAATAAAATCTATACCTAATTTTTTTATTTGACAGATGAGAAATTTATTTTATTAATTCTCACATCCGTTTTTTTCAGAACTGAAACAGGTTTTGAAATATCCTATTACAGTTGTTGTGTGTTGTATTGATTAATAAGAATTGATATTTGATATTAATAGAATTATAAATTGTGATGTTAAAATTATTACTATTATTATTTAGATAAAGGAACCTAATTTGATTTGAAGATAAAACAAATCACGCTCCGGTACTTTCGTTGTGTGTTATTGTGGAGTTTTACGACATTTTGAGCGAAAAATTTTGCAAATGAAAATCCCTACCTAATCCTTTCTATTTCCCTAATGTTGTAGATAATGCAGTGATTAGGTTTGCTATAGGTGGACACATTAACTCCATTTAACACAGTTTGCTTGTACACAAAGTAAATTAACTGGAAAATTGTCAGTAAGCACGACACACCAATTTCCATTGTAACTAGTTGACATGTGTTTAATGGGAAAATTCGATATGATTGATAAGAATTTTGCCCATTTCTAGGTGGACCTCTGCATCGAACCAGGCCAGAGTCTCGGCTTGATGATCCGAGGCGGCGTTGAGTATAATCTAGGGATTTTTATCACCGGAGTTGATAAAGATTCAGTGGCAGACAGGGCTGGACTTATGGTAAGACAACCATAGTCACAAATTCCGTTGATTACAGGAAGAAAGTTGAAATCATTCACGTTTTTTCATCCGATTTAAGAGACATAAAACGTGGAAAAAATGGTCTCTCGAATTAATCTCACTTAATGGAATTAACTTATCCAGATAAATGGGACACGGGATCGCGACTGGAAAGTAATAAAATGCGGTATCGATTTTTTCCAGTACCTGGTCATAAATTGCGAGGACATTTCAGTAATTTCTTCCTGTAATAAGCGCACCGTGGAATAAATCTGAAACGAGTACAGCGATTTAATTAACTTTTTCAGGTCGGGGATCAAATTTTAGAAGTGAACGGACAATCTTTTATGGATGTGACACATGACGAAGCGGTCGCACAGCTCAAATATCATAAGAGGATGAGTCTTCTGGTGAGGGATGTCGGGAAGGTTCCACACTCATGCACTGCCTACGATAGGGAATGGGACTTGTGCAGTCCAGGGTAATGCTGTAATACCTACTTATTTTCCTAGTTTTACTAAACGAAATTTACTACCGGTGGTATTAAAACAGCAGTGTTTTTATTCTCATTTTGCAGTGCTTGAACTACAAAATGTTTGTTATTAGTGTTTGTGTTTCTGAGTTTACGTTATGCAGTATTTACAGAGCCGCTGCAGTATGTGATTTGCATAATAACAATATCAAAAAAGATAATCGACATATAATGAATTGTGCGTGATAACTCCGACTTATTTACCAATAATATTTCTAATTTTATTAGCGTTTTGAAGAAAATTGCACACGCAATCTCGAGATGATCGAAATTATTGGAAATTTTTCTTTTTAAAATAAAAAAAAATGTGTCATATCGACTTTTCCAACGAAAACTATAGTAACTCATAAATTACAGTTTTGAGAAAAATTGCATTAAATCTTTGATTGTTAATAAAAAATCAAGGAAGTGTTTAATATTATTGAAAATTACTGAAGGTCTAAATTTTGGTCAACAATTCTTTAGTCAAAAAAAATTTCTTATTGTTTTTGTATTTTGGGCCCTACATAAGCCATCGCAACTAAAAACCTATTTTTATGAGTTACTGTAGTTTTCGTTGGGAGAGTCGATATGTTTTCACTTGAAGGATATGAGTAGTGAAGACAGAATATTATTGAAAGAAAGCTACGAATCGATATTTTAACTTTTAATATTAATTGAGAAATGCGATCGCAAGTTGTTGAACAGAAACATTTTTATTATTTAGCAACAAGTACAAGAATTTACAACTGGAAAATTTATTGAGAAAAATGTTATTTTATCTCTTCTGTTAGACGTAATACTGTCGATGGCTGGAAAGAAAAATAAAAGTATTATTTTAAAACTTAGGTATATTACACCTTTTTTAATCTTTATTAAAAATAATAATAAGACTATTCAGAAATGAAAATCCTAATACTTGATTTTGAATGAATAAATCAAGACACATGGGAAAAGATAACTCAAAAGAAGTCAACTACAGTTAAATAAAAATTCACTACTGTTTTAAATTACTTTTTCCAGTTTCAGAAGTGATAATAAATACTATGCAGAAGACAAGTTTAAGAGAAATTCCAATTTAATATTGATGACTTGATTCGAAGTAATAATTACTCTCCAACAAGAAAAAGAATTATTTTCTATTACCTGACATCTCAGTACCAGGAACATAACAAAAATTTGTACAACATATTTTTATAAATGATTGAAATATTCATTTCTGAGTTGTGAGACGTAGTATTTAACATATACATGGTATCAAATAATTAATAAATTTTTGAATATAGACAAAATAACATACAAGAAAATTAATAAAAATTAAATATTTTTTTAATAACAATATTGTTCTTTTCGTCTCTTAAAGCTGTTTACATGTTTTATTTTCTAAGAAGTTTGATATTTATTATGTGTGACGATTGATAAAATAGCAAAAGTTTGTCAACTTATCATCACATTCTCCGTTTCTTGAAAACCAACAACAATCCAATATTAATCATGTAATAATACTTTTTTTAAATCTAATTTTTTGCTTATCTTCACTTGAATATTGACTAATTATATTTTACAGTGAAATAAATTGGCATTTATTCGCTTACAACAATTAATAAGCTGTTGTTTGAAATTAGTTAGGAATTTCTTTGAAAGGAAAAAAAAAAACGAACAAGTATTTTTAAAACTATTTTTATTAAATTTCATTAGTTTATTATGAGTTCGTGTTTACTCAAGAAATTGTGTCATTAGTAAAACTAAAGCAATAGAATTTTTCCTGAATAAATAGAAAGTTTTTCAGAATGCATGTAGAATTATTTTCTATGGCCTGACATTTTAATCTCTCGAAATTATTATCTGGACCGTTTGCTGAAGTCACGCAAAAAAATTCGGACTCGTTTAGGTGTGATTTAGAGTTACTGAATATTTCTATAACTCGGGTTCTTTCACTGAAACCGCTGAAAGTTTTTGCCGGTTGCATCATTATTTCAAATTGCGCGAAATCGTTCAAGTGTAGGACTACCTAATAGTCCTTATTTTTCAGGAGCAAAGCGGCGCAAACAACGAGAAAATGGGCGGCGGCTCTTCAGATGGTGGAGGAAAAGGCGCGGTGTCTTCTCTCTCGACCGGAATTTACCACCCTTTGCTACTATACCGATGAGTACGCGTCCAGACATATGACCATAGATGCCTTCGTACAAGTCATGACTGAACTTCTCAATACTCCTGAAAAAGTGGGTAATTATCGAGTGATTTTTCCTATATTAATTTCTTTTTAGTATACTCTTATGACTGAACTAAGAGAGATAGTAGCCATCGAAGATCGGGTAAGATTCGACGAATTAGTGTACAGAAGAGATGTTGAAACTTCTAGAATAAGAGATCCTAGAGAGCACGATTACAGACACTCGCGGGTGAGTTGGCTCTAATTAAAATTTTCTTCAAAGAACATCACTTCTTATCATTTCTGCATAATAATTAAAATAGTCGAGTTTTCCCACTATCAAGAAGTTTAAAAACTTGTATTTTACAGAGAAAAGGAATACCCATTCCGGATCCCAACCAACCGGCAAACTTTTCAACTTATCATGAGGTAAGCTTTTTCACTTTATAATTTTTGTTGCCGATGCGGAATTACAAGATAGAAATATGTGGTGCTTGATGCTGAAAATTAAAACCGACAAATTTGCACATATGCATACCTCACCAATCAAAAACAACGACGCTCAAATGTTATCCAAATCGTATGAGAGTGGTAGAAAATACTCCAAGCACTTGTTCGATTTATATCCTGCAATAATAAATTCTTACACTAATAATATCACATTATTTTTAGTTCCAGTTTCTAGTGTTTTTCCTATAAACGAAAAATGGACATAAAAACTGTTTTAAATTATGAGAGTTGTGTATTATCAAATGCCCATCTAGTGTTGTTTTTCCTTTCTCTACAAAAGAGAGATTTATGATAAATGGATGACTCTTCTTTCAGACAATAACATAAAAATTAATCTCACGGTTATTTTGTTCTCAGTCGAGGTTAAATGAATCATATTGAATGAATCAAACTGAAGTTTCATCAAGTACATTCGTCTGCAAAATTTGGTAAATTAATACATAAATTTGGATCCATTCTTGCTGGCGGGTATTACAAGGAATTGTAAATTAAACAAAAGTCTTTGAAATTATCTTGGATAGTAGATCCAGTTTTTGTGGACGAATATAGTACATATATTATAATTTTTTCCAGTTTTGCATGCTGGGTTTTTGAATGCTTTTTTGCACCAACCTTCAAAGTTTTTTATATTTTTTAACCAAATTAGTTTAGACAAATTATAACTATTAGTGGGTAGTAATGTTTTATTTTTAATGAAAGTAAGATTACCTTAATTGTGAGTCTTTGAAGTATTCCTCTTTTTTATATCGTCTATGGGAACACTTTTACCCATAAAATAAATTACACTAATTAGTACAAATTAGTTATCGACATTAAAACGGGTCGTATCTCCTGTAAAGTTTTAAGTGGGTTCATTTTAGCTTCTGTAATAATAATTAACAAATTTATTGGTATTTTTTATATGTCTTTTTGATTGTTATGTATTTTTTCCTCACTAAATCAGTAATAATTGATATGAAAAAATTTCTTTATGACAGGTTTAATTATATTGTCCAACAGAAAAATCTTTCTTTAAAAAAAGAGTGTGTTTTTTCGGGTGTAGAATGTGAATTTGAACCCGGTTTTGAGTTTTATTGGAAATATTTTGTGAAAATCGAACAAGAATTGTTTTCGAGTGTTCTATTGGCATTTTCGCATTCGGAAGTCGAAAGTAGGTGGTTTCTATAGAATTTTTTAATGAAAAATTTAAATTTAAAATTTGTTTCTATCAGTTTGAGTTTTTCAAATTTTCATATCATCACGTTATCCACAAAAATCTTATTCCTTTGATGACGCAATATGTCTATAATAAGAAATACAATAAAATTAAAAAAGTAAACAATCAGATTTCAAATTTGGTATCTGTCAGTCTGTAGGACAAAATCAATAGGAACCATCTGCTTTTGAATTTTTTCTGAACAGGAGAAGGAAATGTGGAAATTTGTTGCACATTGGTTATCTAGCTTGCTAACAGAATTCGATTACACAGAATTTAAAGTTAGTCTAGAATCCACTTTTTCTAATCCAGCATTAAAACTTCAAATTAACTTTTAATTGTTACTTAGGCCTGAAAGTGTTGTTAAAACATAGAATTACAACAGATTTGCTAATGGAAATAAACCTCATTTTATTGGGAGATTTAGTAACTGTAAGAGAGTGTTTTAATAAACTTGATCTAACTAAGAAACGTTTTGTTAATTGATTACTGGATTACCCATTTGATTTTAGTCAACAAATTATTATTATTATATCACAATACCAGAAAATGATGTTTTATAGTTTCATAATTTTTTATCTTAACTGAAATGCTAATAAACTATCGAGAATTACTCATATCTACGTGTCGTAGCTATCATCTGGAAAACACGAAGACAACCTTGAAACTTTGGCAACTAGTAAGTTATTTGCAAATTTTGCACGATGTCTAAATTAACTATTCAGTAATTAGGTATAGGTGCTTTAAACTTAATCAAACAATAATATCGACGAAAAAATACTACAAAATCAAACAAAATATTTTACAAAATGACACAATCGAATGAAATAGTCATTAGTTGAGTTTAATAAATACATTATTTAAATGTGGACAAAAAAAATATCTAAAACAATAGATGGCAATGACATGGGAATGAGATATATTTCACATTTACAATCACTATAGCAATATGCCGATTTCTAACTTTTTGTAGGTCGGGAAATTTGTCATTACATCCCGTGGTCGGGAAATAATTTATGAAGAACTACCAAAGTTATGAGCCCATCAAATGTCAAAAACTTAATTTGTTTGCATAGCTACTATGTCAATGCATGAATTTTTACAGAAAAACAGATATTTTGTTATTTAAAAAATAGATTATGAATGACATACAATGTTATTACTTCTTGTGCTCTATCCAGGATATATCTATCAGGATATTTGAGCCCGCGCGGTAACGCCACATTTTCCACCTCGCATGTAACCTACTATTAACAACGAAATTGTTTTGTCTTCTTTGCTTACATATTTTGAACTCCTTTTTATTGTTTACAAAGTTTTATATTTATTATGTACTTATTAATAAATATAAAACATATGATAAAATAAGAAAAACTGATCAATTTATCATCACAGCAGAAAAATTTTTTACTGTCTTTTTTAACAATAAAAAGTGTTTTGTATTTCAATACTTAATAGTTACGTAATACTATACTTTTTAAATCTAATTTTGTGTCTATTTTCACTCAAATATTGATGAATGATGAGTGTAGTTATCTTCCAAGCAAAACAAATTTATCAAATTACTAGCGTACTTTTCATTCGCTTACAACAATTGGAATTTAATACGCTATTGTTTAATTTAATTGAGAATTCCATTGAAAAAAAGCGAACAAGTCACAAATACAAATATTTTTAAAACTACCTATTCATTAGATTTGATTACATTTTTTTGTTTTGTTTATAACTTTCGAAATTTTTTGGTGTGTACGTATAAGTAGAAAGTTTTTCATAATGCATAATGTGCACTATTTAGTGAATTATTCAATTTATTGATTTCCCTCTAATATGGGGCTTCAAAATTACGTTAAATTTTCTAGTTTTTTAAAACTGTCGGCTCCATTTGACTGCTACTATACCAAAAACTGACACAGTTGGTATTGCAGGAGTACGGTCCAGTAATAGAGCCACCTCCTGGTGTAAGTATTAGTAACGAAGACGAATATCGCTCTCCCAGTGAGGATTCAGGTTTAGGAATGGGAATTTCAGATAGAATTCAGAGGTGAGATTTTTCCATAACCAAATCAAACGAAACTTTTCTAAAAAGCTTTTTTCGGGTTTTATAGAACACGCCCACCAAGTGCCACAGGAAAAATAGTAACCGCTTTAAACGACGAAGATCACCAAACTCAGGTTACCTTTTGTATTTTAAATTTTTTATTATTCTTCTTCTCCTCTCTTTTATCTTCGTAGGCTTGTAGAGGAACGAAACAAATCTCAGAAACAATCACTTTTTCTTCGAAACAAACTGAGATTTTTTTCGTTTTTAGAGCACTGGCACCAACATATCTCTATCATGTTCCCACTTGCACTGTCTTTAATACCTCTCTCATACCTGTTTAGAGTATTACATTAGAATAGACTTTCTGTAAACTTTGGACTCCACTAAATCGAAATTTAGCGGAAAAGCCGGTCAAAACTGAGATGTGTTTTTTTTCAGGAATATGCCAGCGGTGACGAGGAAAATCCTCCGGGGACCCGGAGTCGGAGACACTCCAGTCCGGGGGAATCCAGGTCTGAGAGCACCACGGCACTACATCAGCAGGATTATCCAGATTCTGTGAGTATTAACGACTGCCCCGCATTTGGAAAAGGGCCAACAGAAACACTCTGTCGAAATTTATAAATATTTTATTACAAAAATAACATAAAAATTATTAATGTATGCATAATCGAATATGAATTCCTCTAAATGTATGGAATAATATTTCTATAGATATCACAGTTATGTACACTACTTAAAATTAATTAGAGTTTAAAACTTATCTAGTGTAATGTTGTGTAGTGGTATGTATTTGTGGGATATTTACATTTAAAACAAAGTTATTTCTGCTAACTCACATTGCAAATTTTCCGCCACTTGACCAAAACTAATACGCTTTTGAGGATTCTAAATCAGACATCAAATGGTTTGGAAGTAATCCCGCTCTATTTGGCCCTAAAATCCCTGGAATCAATTTCTCTAATTTGAAATTTATTTCGATTTAGTGGAAGCAACAATCAGGACGTAAATGAACATATCATTTTTGACGTTGATTCCTTGGAATTATTAAATTCTCTTTAATTGAAAATTTTGTGCGGAAGCCGCCAGGTGCTTATTATAACTTTCATTTACAATGTAAATTAACTTGCGTGTATTAGTCAGCTAATTAGGAAAAAGCGCGATTAAAGTTACAATTTCTCCTGGAGAGCTCGTCGCAGCTCTTCCGTGGCTTTCGCCAAGTTGGTGTTTTGTAGGGCAGCCCTGATTTTGATATCGTCCTGTCGACAGTCGTCATAGATGTAATCTTTCGGGGGTTCAATGGGGTAGGCGCATCGAGACCCACTGCCGAATTTGGGCCGAGGGATTCGGACCCTTTTCACGTCGACGAGCCATGATTCCATGGTGGCCTCCAATCGCCTGTAAAACCACACTCGAGTAAATAAAGAGACTTCTAAGGACGCGGTTAAAATGTAATACCGGAGCACAGTTTTCTCCGGTTTCTAGGACACAACTAGCGCAATATCCCACCTCGATATGGTTATCTTTTATTGTTTCGGGTTATTTTGTTCAAGAAAACCGTACACGTTTCAGAGTGATCTTGAAATTTCAGTGGATTTTAGACCTAATTAACTTCGTTTAAACTTTCGAGACGACTAACGGGGCTCTGTCACGACTGACTAGTTCACTAGGATAGTTAAATTAAAAAGCCAAACAAAGAGCTTTTCACGTGTGTCATTCTTGTTCCATTTTCAAGGTACGGGCTGAATCATCGGGTTAATTGACGAGGAAACTTAAGATTTCGTCAACAATAACCGTTAATTAATTGTTGACTTGGAGTAAATAAATGATGTGGTAGTGATTATTGTTTAAATTACGTGTCTAGCATGTTAGTTCCGGTCTAGGTCAGATTTTCTAACAAACACAAGTTTTGTAATATTTGAGGTAACAATGGATCTGGTGTGTGTTACACAGGTGTTGCAAAAATTTTGGGTTTTAAATTAACATGTAAATTTTAAAGGTCGGATAACAATGATTTCAATTACTATTCTTAAATTCTTTATTTTGGTGTCATGGGTCGTGTCCACAAAACCACAGCTTTATACAAAGGTTGCAGTTTTCATTCAAAAATTCAATTAGATTTCTTATAACATATTTTTTGAAATATAGCTTTGATATTTTTAAACTAAGATAATAGACATTTTAAATCACATCCAAGGTGAACGAAAAGTTTGAAATCAAGAGTTTTTTGCTTATACTATGTATATTTATTGGAAAAAATCTGTGGTACATTTGAAAAATGTGCTCGTTTTTCAAAAAATATGTGTTTTGAGGTATCAAAAAATTTTATTTAGAAAACTCTTAAAATTTGAATTTTTGTGTTCAATTCAATTTGAATTAGCTTTTCAGTTACAGAAATAATTTTCTAAAATAAAGAGTATCCGTTTTTCGAGCTTCACCATAGGGATCTCAGTTATTATAAGAGATACGAGGTCGGTTAAATTAGGGCAAAGTTGCGTATTTTTATGCTGAACAATTATCTGAAAGAAAATTTAATATGTCATTTTTAGTTTTTGAATTATTGAAATTGTTATTGATTACAACTATGTATCATAAGATATGATCACATTTTCCATGCTTATCAAAATTTAAAAAAAAGCGTTTTTGAGAAGAGTGCTTTGGAACAACCGCAAACAATTTTAATTAACAAACTAAATTTTAAAACAGTGGAAGGTGGTACATTCGAGCAACTTTTATAAGTTCGTGTTGTTTTGTTTTGCGAAGAATAAATTCTAGTTTATCACGTTGTTCTTATTTCAAAACCTTAGTTTTTAAGTAGGTAAGCTTGTCGGAAGTGACTTCCAAATCCAAATTTAATTGAACTATCAAAATTTAGTTTGTTAATTAAAATTGTTGGCGTTATTTCCAAAGTACTCTTCGCAAAAACGTTTTTTCTTAATTTTGATCAGCATGTAAAATTTGATCATATCGTGTGATACATCGTTGTAATCGGGAACAAAAAGACTTTTCAAAAATACAGAAATATGGAGTCTATAAGAAAATCCAAAGTTTAGTGTTGTAACTCTGACATCAAGAGCGCCTTCGAAAATACGATGACAGATTTAGATTCTTTGTAAAAAAGATGCCTTAAGAAGGTCTTTTAGTTTTTGCTTTAAAAAAAAAACAAACATTACAAATTTCCGTTTTTTTTTTCAATAATTCAAAAACTAAAAAGACACATTAAATTTTCTTTCAGATAATTGTTCAGCATAAAAATGCGCAACTTTGCCCTAATTTAACCGACCTCGTATTTCTTATAGTAATTGAGATCCCCATGGTGGAGCTCGAAAAACGGACACCCTGTATATTTTAATATTATGTTTTTAGATGTGGTTAAAGTCTTTCTGTAGTTCGATAGTTTGATTGATTTATTTCTTCATTATTTAGTTAACAAACTAACACTATTGGGGAAAGAAATAGTTGTTTGGTTTTTTTTGTGGTATTTTTTATTTAATCCGGTGAAATTTGCACTCCAGAAACCTGCTGTATTAGACTGAAGCTACCAAGTTAAAAGCAATGATGTATCTATAATTAGTTCACCTGTCACTGCGCTGAATTTTTCTCAATAAAGATTAGATCATTAATAACCTCCATTTATTGATCTTTTCACTGAACTCCTACCGGGTTCCCAAATGAGATAGATTAGCAATTGCCGCATCAGTGAATTACCGCTTTGTTAATGGCCATTGCTCGCGGTCAAGTCGGGGTCACACAGGTGTTTTTCTAAGCTCAATTAATTACCTAGGTGTGTCGACGCAAATCGCGAAATTGGTGTAGTCTCGTTGCGGAACTAGATTTTTAACCGTCTTGAACACTTGAACTGTTGCACTTTCGTTTGCAGAAACGTGTAGTTTGTGCAAAAAAACTAAAACTAGTGCATCATAAGCATGATAAATCACCGAAGCCGTCAATTTAAGCAGTCGTCACGTTGTCGGAAATCGTTATAACAGGCATCTCGAGCGTTTTAACGGCCGTTGATGAAGGCTTTAAGTTGCTAAAGTACCGTTGCGGTCACCACTGGAACACGCCGTAATTCAGCGCAAACCTTTAACCCTGAATTGCGATTTTTACAACGTCTCAATATCACAACGGTTTAATTTGGCAAAATTGTAAATCGACGGAAGTACCGTTAAGAGATAAACGGCTTTGTTTCGGATTTAGTGGGGGACATTGTTCTTGCACTGTTACGCTTCGCTGCATCTTGCATTTACTCTCCTCTCATTATATCATTTCCAGAAGTGGTACTTTTTCTTACAAAACAAAGAAATTTATTCGATTCATTGCTGTTTACTTGAATTAAATTATCACAAAAAATGAAACAAAAACACATTTACTTCCTTCCAGGATTTATTTGTATTCAGTCCGCACAATTACAATCACTTTCTGCAACATTGTAAACAACCATATCAATCATCTTATGTATGTAATAATAATTAAATTTACTTAATTTATTTTTAAATCAAATGGTAGTAATTCAGTGAAAGCGGCCTTTACTTGCTATTACAACTGTCATGTGAAATTGCATGGAACTGTAATATTAGCTTTAAATGGCAATAGGAGAGTTGATAACGCATACGATTAAGTGTGAAACGATTCGACGTTATCGTAATGTTTGTTGTACCATAATTCATCATTGTTGTGTCGAAATAAAATATCCGTGTGTAAAATTTAAGTACGGTATATTTGAGATAGTTAGCTGATTGTAGGGACATACTTGAACCTGGACTTGTCAATATTTTTAAATAATTGGTTTTCTACCAACGATTTTTTTAACAAATAGTTTCAACTTACATTTTTCTCAAGTTTGACTACCTTAAATTACCTGTAATTTTGATTTTAATCGTTCAGTCATTTAATTTTTGTAACCTAAATAATGACTATTTCCCGTAATTACACTCAAGAATATTTTCCCCATTTTTCGTCTAGAATATGGTAATGTGTCTATTCAAGATATAATAATAATTGTTAAAAATACGATAGAATAACAATAAAATTTAATAAAAGTAAAAATTTATACCAACGTAAAAGTACATACAGTCAAACAAAAAAGTGGTCGTCAATGTCATTTCAAAAATTAATAAATAATAAATAATTTACATTTTAACAACAAAATTGATTTGATGACACCAAACTTCATGATTCCAAGTAATTTATTTTTGTTAATTTAAGTATGCTTATTTACACAGGAATAATTATTTTTATGCCAAAATTAACGACCACTTTTTTTGAATTTATCTGTATGTAAGTCAATATTAAATTCTCGTTAATAATAAAGTTTGTTTTTTTTTCTTTATTTATTGTAATTGGATTTAGGTAATACTATTTTCCTACGACCCTAATGGAAAGTAAGTTTTTCTACCCTAATTTCAGAAAGGAAAGTGGCCAATTACCTCCCTCATCTGTCAAAATTACATAAAAAATATATGTAATCTCTAAGGGAGATAAAAACATGCTGCTAGATTTAATGACAAAACTGGGATATCAAGAAAAATGGTAATTTTTTAAGTTTTTGTTGCTGGATCGTAGAAAAAATTATATGTATTATACTGGAAGAAAGTGTCTTTTCCTCTATGAGTGGGACAAGACTCGGATGGTAACCTCCACCGGCGGGAGAAAAAGATACACTTTTTACCTTGCAATACAAATAACTATTTTCAATAGAGCAATAAAAAAATCATAGAAATAAGACTGTAATAAAGAATAAACAGGTATAAGTTGAACTATACCCACTAATATACAGAGTGATGATAAAGACCCACATAAATGTCAAAGGCACTAAAAGTCATAATAAAAAAATATGCCAATAAGTCTTAATAAGTCTTTTTAAAATGTAAAATTGACTTGTTTGAGCATTTTTCGAATAGCATAGCGGAATTTTGTGTAGGACTTTATCATCACTCTGCATAATTACAAGAGTAATATAGAAATAAAATATTTCTAAAAATATATTAATTTTTGTGCATTGATTTCTTCGTTATGTAAACATTGTAGTACTTACATCATTAGATTATCCTATTTTTTATCAGAATATTATCCTTTTTTAGTATTTTTAAATAATAAATATACCAGGTAAGCAGAAGGTATGGGGCCAAACTTTTTTTTATTTTTTTTTTATAAAAACGAATAATCGTGATATGAATACATAATTATTTTCATGGGATATATTTTTTCAGTAAATTCAAGATTAACAGACATTTCAGGCTCTTTTCCTTTAGATGTTGAAAAATAAAAAGTACTTTGATAGAGATAGAAATAAAGATTAAAAAATTCACAATTTAAACAAAATTGAGTAAATAATACTACATACATAGTCATAATTTCTTCGAAAAAAAAACAGAAAACTTTCCTCTTGAACGTAATGACTAATGACAATTATTAAAAGAACATATATGTAATTTCTTCCTTTCCATATGTTTTTACAATAGATTTAATTTTGATACCTAAGTGTAGAAGAAAAATCTTAAATTTATTTTCGGTTTTATTATTAGTACTTACGTACTTAATAATGACCTAGAAGACCGTTCCAATATTGGGTTTTTTTTATTTAAAAACCTTGGTAAAAGGCTGCTGTTTATTACAACCATATTGCTCTAATTTTTATTGAAGAACAAAATGTGTGAATCCAGTTCAGTGACAGGTTGTGAGTGAAATAAAAAAACCGTCAATGACACGGTTAAAAACGTCGGTCCTCGAGAACGAACTGTAATTGGAACATCCTTATCGAAAGAAAGTAAAAATGTCTTTCGTTCCGAATCGACTTTTACTTCACGCTGTTGGCGTCGATAAAGAAATTCGTGATTAAATGATGCATCGCAAGCAACAATAATAACTTTCGCGTGCATAAGAACCGGCGACTTCGACGATGCGTCACAAGGCGAACCGCGACAAACTCTTGAGATGTTTATTACGCGTCTGCTGATGCAAATACAAGGCCTACTGCAACACTGATCCACATTTTCCCACTGAAAAAGCCTCGACCGTAGAAAATCGTGATCTGTTTTTGCACATTTTTGCCTTTTTTAACAAGACTGGGTTAGTATTTTTATGTGTTATACGGTAACGTAGCTAACGACTTTAACAATAGTTAACGGATTGTGTACAGTTTTAATAAACGCCAACCGTAAATTGACTGATACAACGACGGAAAAAATAAATTGCTTCGGTACTGATCAAAGCATGATGTGTTATTTTTATTCGAGATATTTAAATAATCATCGCATTGGATAATTAGGAATATACAATAAAAACGGAACGAAGAAAAGCGACGAGAGGCTGTGTATGCGCTCGAGAAATTATTATTATTGTTATTATACCTACTAATCATGGTTGTTATTACCCGCGGCCGGTTATTCGTTAAAAATGATATAATGACTAAATTGCCACACTAAAGACGAAAACTTTTTAATAATAAAACTGAATTGTAACGTGGAGTAAGCACAAATGTCGATAAATTTCGTTCGAGAGCGAATAAGTTTTGGATGAGGATTATTAATTTTAAAAAGATAGACATTAACACAACACGCCTTACTTTTAATTAAAAATTCAAGCCGAGGTGGTCATTATTTGCAGTTATTTACGACGCATTTAGAAAAGTCAAATAAATTAAATAATTGTAGAAAATATCACAAAATTATGCAATTGGACGCTGCATATTTTATAGTTTTTTTTACATTTTTTAATATGTTACAAGTTATGCGTGGTTACGCGTTATTAAAGTTTTTATAAGATAAACTTTCTGATCATTAAATCAATTAATTCATAAGTTATCAACAAATACTTCAATAAGAAGCATTTAGTGATTTAATATCAATCAAGTTTTAATTTCTCAACACCATTTAAAAAGTCATTTGCTTGGCCCATTTTGAAATTTTTGTTTAAATAACTTGGAAGACACTTTCAGAAAATTCTCTTTTAGATTTAAATCCAACAAATACGTGTTTCAGAAAATAATAAAATCAGAAGAAAAGTTTCTTAAAGTAAAATGAGATTTATTTCAATTTTTGATTGAACAGAGTGAAATAATACGTTTCGCAAAGTCTAAGTAATTTTTTACTGTTTTTCCATAAATTTGGTATTATTTAAATGCAAATTATTAAAATTTGTTTTTGAAATATTTTTTGAAGTCATAGCAAGAATAATGATGTTAAAAATTAATAAAACTAAAGTAGATAACAAAATTTTAGTTCAAACTCTGTACCTAACTTTAATCAAAATAAATTGTTGGTAGCTATTTCACATCACTAATTTTAGGATTTTTTTCAATCTAACGTTCTGTTATCAAAAAAACAGCAAGACTGTAAAATAAGAATTACTGTTTCACAATAAAGATGTTTTTGTGTAAGGGAATTTATTAAAATATGCAAATAAATATTTGTAACTGCCACAAGTACGAAATAATATTTCCATTTTTGCAAATATTGTAAATAGGAGAAAGCTAAATTTTAAATTTCATATTTTGACTTTTCACAAAAATCAGGTATTAATATATTCAGTGCAATGCCCGGCGATTTAGGCCTCCCATTTATGTCCTCATTGACAGGACATTATAAAGTAATTTCCTGTCTCAGACAAGCGAGTAGAGCAACAAATCAAAAAGAAAGTAAAAACGAAAAAAATACAAACCTGTTGTCAATAAAACGATAACGATACACTTGTCACAACGCCTGTAGTGACCGATTATTGGTTGTTACGTAACAAGAGCTGGTGATGGTACCACAAGTACCTCGTGGTCGCGTCACCTTCGATGGTACCCAACCGACTGACCAACACGGTCTGATTGTGCTTTGTTTTGTTCCATGCTTACGCTATCTCAGGACCAGGTAAGCTATACAATGTTGCCACACTGCTATTTCTAGACTTGGTAGAGTAGTGATAGTAGTACCATGTAGTAGTGGCTTTTAGTACCCATAGTTTAGTACCAAATAGATCCGGGAGAAAAATTTGCAAAAGTGTGCGTTGCTTACTTTCAGAAAGGTTATCATGTTCATAGGTTATAATCCTAATTATGGATATACTTCCGCATCTGAGTGTTTTAATTGAAAGGCTAATTTGATTCATTGTTAGTTGGAATGAATGTGTTGGGTTGCACAAGCGGTTTGCAATTCATTGAATTGGAGATGTAGTCATTGTAGGATAGCTTTTTCTAGAAATTTTCAGAAATTAGGACTTTTACTTTTGCAGCTTTTAGTTGCTTTTAAAAATAGCCTTCACTAATTTACCATTCAATAATATTTATAATTACCATATGCAAAATAGTACTACTGACACTATAGGGGAATAAATTTTATTGAAATTACAATTTAATGACAAATTACTGATGATAAAATTCAAATATTAGTTATTTCCATTATTATAAATCTACCTAATTTGTATAAATGTTCATGGTTTGCAGAGATTAAATTTATGACAAAAATAGCTGTTACTAAAGTGCATTTAAAGATAAACGCGACGCTTTCTGAATTTTATATTTATATGTAATATTGATTGTTCTCAGAGTTATATTTTTTTGGTAAAGCAACATCACTTATATTCATGGTTCGAAAAAGAAAGATTTATAGTTATGATTGTTTTTTTTTTCATTCTAGTGAAATTAATTTTTTTTTTGTAATGACAACAATAAAAATAAATCTATTTCTTGTACATATGTCTGAATGAGATTTACGTATTTTCATTCGTTTTCAAATAAAAAATTCGAATTTATATTCTCGATATTGAGCCAGATTTTGTAAACCTTTTTACACTTTCTTATTTTTTAATAATTCGAAATTTCAGAAGACGAATAATCACAAAAAATTGCGAGCACTACTTTTAATATTGAGAAATATTAAAAAAATACAATTTTTAATAACTGTAGGTAATTCTTATTAAAAATTTAAAATAAGTTTTTTGGAAACAATTATGTATATCATTTTTTTATTTTTTGAGTTAATATTTGAAAAAGATTTTTTAAATTTAATTAGACTGTGCATTGTTTCTAGTTAAATTATGATCTTTTTAGATCATGAACCTACTTTAAGATTTTTTTATATCTTTTAGACCTTTTGTTTAAAACATTCAGTAGATAAAATCTTGTAGTTGTTTATTTAATATTGACTGGCTTACTCAAAACACAAATTTTTTTATTTTACAGTCGTCTGTAGTAAATAAAACACAATTTTCTATTAAAGATACATTAACTCACCTTTTATATTAACACAGAACCCAAAAAATGGAGAAATCAAACTAGTTTAAGGACTAGTCTTGAACCTTCTTTAAATTTGTTGGTTATTTTATCAGGAATTATCACTTATCAAAGTACTCTATTAACATGAGTATAATGCAAACACTACTGAGATTATTTTAAATCTGTTAAAATTAAAATGATGGCATTTAATTGTTAAATGTTTTGATACTCGTAAGTATAATAAATGAGATTTTTTTAAATTTATATTTGTTTTTTTATTTTTCTTGTTTTAAACTTGACAAATCTTATATTTTTTAAATAGTTTAATAATAGCTTAAATGATTAAACGTAAATCTAGAGGAATATTTCCATTTGTGGGAAGTGAAGGGTTCTATATTTGTGTAACTTCGCATAATATTTAAAAAAATTCTTGAGTGAAAAGTAGGTCGAAAGGCCCTTTCTACTTAATGACTTTAGGAACGAAAATGGCTCTTCGTGACTAGTACCTAAATACTGTTGTGATCACCTTGTATATCTTTTCTCAAAATAGATTCTCAAATTATTCCACACGAGTATTTGAAATCTTTAAATATATTAAACTTGTAATAACAACAATTACCTAAGTAGAACAGCCCAGTTCTACTTTAAACGATAGGATCAATGCCACTGTCAGAGATCGTTGTAGATAAGACAATAGAAATATTAAGTAACAATCAACGGTGTTGGCGAATTAATTACTGGCAAAAAAAAATTGAAACATTAGTTACAGTGTAAAAGCACGAAATTCGAGGTTTATTTTATGCAACAATTAATTATCTGCTTGTAATTTCCATTTAAACGAATCATTTTTATGAACACCGATCATTACAAGCCACGGTGAAAGTTGAAAATTTCGAAAACGTTATCACTGAAACTTGCAAAAATCCAAATCTCCCGTTAAACGTTTATTTCCTTGTCTCCTCACCCGACAAAATAAACAAGCTGGTAATGAACTAAAATTCCGTTTCATTATACCTGACTTCTCTCAATTAGCTAACACGTCCAGCTATAACTTTCTACAGCACCATACACAATACAGGAGGAAAGAAAAATGAGGAACAATAATGCAGCAACGCAACAGTTTCACCTTGAACGGGAGATACCTGCCTTTAATTAAAAGTGCACTTTTTCTTTATTAAGCATTGTGTGAGACTATTTTCGATTTTTAAATAATTAATTGAATCTTTCAAGAAGTAATGGCGTAATAGATGCTTACAATCTCGCATCCTGTCTTTGATTTAATCCACAGCTTGTTCGTTTTTTTCGTAATCACCCTGTATGGAGAACGATCTGAGATAAAGTACCGCCGCTGAAAAAAATCTCTCTGCTTAACTGTACGCCTGAATTAATGAAATGAATTCTCACAAGACACTCGTACTTATTTATATTTTTTGACGGCTATTCGGTTTCCTGTTTTTTTTTCAACGTAACGGGATTTGACAAAGGCGATAAAATTGACCACAGAATCCTGCAATTATGTATTTTTTCAAAAATTGGCACAGCATTGTTCTCATAAAACAATCGACTATAAAATATTATTTTGTTTTGCTCATTGTTGCAATTTCTCCTCTTTCGTAATTACACATATGATTTTTATTGAAAGTAAAAGCTGCATTGACTAATGTTCTTAGAGCTAGCCCACCTTTTTTTCATTCATTCATTCATTCCAGGTGTGTTGATGTAATGAAAATAAATTGAATTAAATTACAATTAGCCTTTTAACTGTTCGACAGACTCATATGGTAATGAGAGTCTTAATCAGGTTAATTAAAGGCGATTTATTTGTTAAGTAATTACAGCGCGTCCAAGTTATTTACATTAAAATAGTTTCTAATTAAATTTAAATTTTTAAAGGTACAGGCGATTTATTTGCAAAAACTGTGTTTCAGACATGAGGTTTAAATCGTTTATCTTTAAACGATTTGATTTGAAGATGCGAGGAGAAAATTTAATCAAGATTCAGATAATTTTACTTGTGTAGGCTACAGGAATCTTGTATTCGCGATTAGAGTAATACAATAAATTTTGGTTTTATTGCTAATAAATCTTGTAAAGAGGTTTGCTAAATACTTAATCGGGAATAATAGAGGAAATGAAATTTTAAATCAGCTTTATGGTCACATTTATCGCTTATTGGAAATTTTAATTCGTTGAATGTGATTCAAGAGTAAATATGTACTCATCACTTTAAAGTAAATCAATATTCACTTTTAGACACATTTACAAGAATGTTGTTTAAAAAGTGGTTAAAATTAAGATTTACTAAAAAAGTTAAAAGGCTATGTTTTGTTAACAATGACTTACGGCTCATAATTGAGATTTATCTTTGTCAGTTTTAGTTTTGTTTTTTTATTTATTCAACCATATTTTAAAAGGTTACTAAATAGTTCTTGAAAATCTGGAGCATAAAAGATAATGTTCAGTAGGTACTGTAAGCAACAATAATAATTTACTATTTTCAGTACAAATAATAAATAATTAGTTAATTAACTCATTTGACATTTCTAGTAATATACAGGTATTATTTATACACCTTGAACTATGTTTAACTATGTATTTTTGTACACTTCAGCTGGCAGTTTTATATTCAAAATGACATTTAAAATATAAAAAGTTAAAATACGTGTTAACAATAATAATTGTTTTAAATTTAATAAAAAATATTTATTTCTGTGAAGATTCTAAATAAATATATAGTTTAATGTAATGACAAAAGAGAGGTAGAACATTGATACTCATGAAAATGTTGTTAATGCAGACCAAGAAAAAAAAGGTAAGAAAAAAAAGATTTTTTTAGTCAATATTTTTTAATACAAGACAGGTGTTCAAAAATTGGTAAATTTGAGAAATAACTGACGTATTAAAGTTACTGTTCAAGACAAATTGAAATTTGTAGTACAGCAGACTACGGTTTAATTTAGACTCACGATTTCTAAATAAAATAAATACATATAATTATGTTTTTTTGCTTTTTATTTTTGAGTACTAAGTTAAATTAGTCATCAATTTGTGTCAATTGTTTCTTGAGCCACTTTCACAATTTTACATTTTGTAATATTTTTTTATACAAAATTTTTTATTCTGATTAATTATGCTTGAATAGGTATATTTGTTTATCATAAAAACTACGAGTATAATTGTACAATTTTTATTCAGTAAAAAACAGCTGATTGCAAGTATAATATTTACTCTTAATTTCTTTATAAAGCCAAAAAGATAAATTAGTAAAATTCCTCGTATTTATTTCACAAGAAAGAAAATGTCAATACTTTAACAATGATTTACGAATAAGTTTTCACTATAACGTCAAAGCTTTGTACATTTATTGCTCCGACGAATTATATCTGAATTGTAAATTAAATTAATCCTATAAAAGCGATACCCAAAACACAATGATGAATAATAAATCATTATCAGAAAAATTAAATTGGGAATTCGTGTTGTGGTTAGATTGCAATTTTACACTTGTCACTCATTTTTATTCATACGTGGTATTAAATTAGTGACCCATATCGATACATACCAGTAGATAATTCTCATATTTATTTATTACCGGTAGCTATATTGCAAATTGTGCTTTTTTACCGATGTAACAAACAGAACTATTTTATTTATACTTGCCTTGCAGGTTTTGCAAGTTATATTGTATGAAATACGTCTTTATATAACCGGTACTAGGGCATTTATTTTATAATAGAATAATCCAGTTGACATCACAAATAGGACATTTGCAAAGTTTGATCAATATTCTAGCCGGACAAACTAAATTAAAAATCGTTACAAACCTGGTAGGAATTTATTAGATGTCGTTTAAAATTTGCATCGATCGAATTCAAACACAATCTCATAACTCTAAACTTAAATTTCTTAGAAGTAGTCTTCTACCACAAAAGCATTCGTAAAAAACCCTTATGAATTGTTAATTTCGCAATAAATCGCTGAATTGATTTTAGATAGAGAAAAACGAGCCGCAGAGATGCCTCTATCTTTTTGCAGCTATAAAAAGATAAGGTCCATGCAAATATGTCACTAACAAGTCAAGTAGGAATAATTTCTTTCTGATGGCGGTGCAAAAAAGATATCAAAAGCAATAAGTGACCAACTCGAGGAGATCTCCCAGATATTACATGCCAGCAAATCATTACCCATACGCTCGTAAAACGTCATTACGTATTTTTTGCAAATCAAGCATATTAAAATAGCGCGAAAACCAAAGGTAAATATTTAACAACAAAGTGAAATTTGTTGAAGGATATTGTGAAATACTGATTTTTTTTCGGTGAGTACCACCTATCTGTAAATAAGTACCCGCAACGTCTTGTCCGACCATTCCATTCATTGACCCGTACACCTTTGTGGGTAAGTAGTACCTTGGTTGGTACCACAGTACCATAAGTGTGGGTTTCATGGTTCTTTAGTATGAGGAGAACATGAGAGCGAGACGGTGGGTTGGTTGGTGCCTCGGTTGGTGCCTTGAACGCGCTACAACATTTCTCACCGACAATTTCATTTCAATTAGCAGAGTTGGGTACAACCAAATTGGGAAAATTGCCGTTTTAGGAGCGGAAAAAATGGTCACTTCATAACACTCATTAAGCTGTTTAAGAAGAACGAGTGTTAGAAGTAAAACAGCTAATTGCCACGATTAAATGTCTAATTGATATTAAATTGTTGAGTAACTAGTTTGATTTATGAAAAATCGAGATTATGGGTTATTAGCGTTTTTAGAGCTTTTATATTTTGCTCGGTAATGGATTACTTCAACGCGGCTTGGGTAACTAACGATTTAATTTTCAGTGCGGTACTGATAAAATAAGTCGCTTATCGTCGAGAGACAGAATTAATGTCCCGTGGAAATGTTTGATCTTAAACCTACTTAAAAAAATGATGACTTGTAGTAGGACTGTCAATTAAGACGCAAAATCAAACAAAGAAAATACCTGAAGCCACGTAAAAGATAAAATTCTTTACGTCGAAAATGGGGAAATAACAAAACATAAATGTAATTTTATTGTTTCATAAGAAAACAATTAAATGGTTTGTTGATTTTTTAGAAATGGAGTTTTTGATGTAAAAATATCTCACCTACTTGCAAATAATTAAACAAAATAGCCTTGAATACAATTCAAATAAAAACGAAGTAGCTTTTTATGTTTTATTTTTTATTTTTTGGTAACAAAATTTCGAAATATGTGTCAAAACTGTCATTTTTACACACGAGGTTCGAACAAGATATTACTTTACTTTATTTGCGGTACTTTTAATACACTCTTTGGCTTTTCCTTTAAATTCTGATAATAATAGGTAATAATTGTTTACTATTTTGTTAGGAGTATATTTTATTAACTAATTTTTCACGTTCTTTCGTACCTTTATTACGTACCTTTTGTTTACATTTTCACCTCTTTAAGTATGCAATTTTATGTTTACGTACTTACTTTTTGTTACCTTACTTACTTATTTTACGTCTTTAAACTTTTTTTACACTACTACTAGTTGGGTACTTACCACTGGGCTAATCAGCCCTAAGCAGGTGTTCTTCTGTTTTATATTCATTCTAGTACAAAATTTCACAAAACTTATTTTCGCGTTTCTACATTATGTTCTTATAGAGTCGGTTTTTTGCTTTTATTTTTATTACATTATATTTATAATAATTATTTATTTTTACCTTTTTACTTGTCATAAGATAAAATAAACTGGATCTAAAGAAATTATATTTTTTTAAATATGATTGGAAATTATTAGTTCACATTTTTCTATCTTGTTAAAAACGAAAAATCACTCAAGTTATTTACTTTTGCTATTACGAGTACAAAGTATTTTTTATAATTCCTTACAAAAACAACTTTCTAAATTACATTTTTTATCGAAAAAATTATGAATCTAGTATACATATTGACACGTTTTTGTTAATAATGAAAATGTATGGATGGATTTCATATTTCAATTAAAACACCATCAATAGTCACCACCATCCATAATTATTTTTTGAACACTAAGATTTATTTATGCAATTTATTTTAACTCTGTCGTGTCGACGCATTTTCACAACTAGATTTAATCCCCTTCCATCTTTTATTGTAAATATTCTCTAAATTCACAAAATTTGTATTTCTTATTTCATTTAAAATATTTATTTATTTTGCTTTACTTTTCATTTACATTTGTAGCAATTTCGCATTTTTTTAAGATTAAATAGGTCACTAATATGTGTTCGGTTTTTGTGTAATAAGAATCTGTACAATAAATCATTAGATCTATACTGAAAAATTTTGAGCCAAGGAACTACGCTATTGAAGAAAAAAAAGTAATTTTGTCGGCTCAAAGTTGCAGTAATTGACAATTTCGATTTTGACTTTTGAACAACAAATAGCACATACTTGTTCAATGTTAGGTGAAGTGATTGTTTTATTAGATTGGCGTCGCGTTTTGACGAAATGTACGAAATTGGAATGTGTTTGCAGAGCGGGTACCTTGGTGGTCTGCGATCGAGCTTAGGAGGGTGGACGCAGAAAGTCAAGTCTTGGTACTGGGGCAGACCTCTTGTAAGTGTTAGGCCCTTCAGAGCACTCCAGCATGCGGCCTTATATAGATTATGGCACACGTATATCTGTCTTGCCACTGAAATAATTGAATCGAAATGATGCCTCGTAGCACTCTCTCACTGTAAATATTGAAGTAGTGTCACTCCAGCACTGTATAGTTCTAGCACCGGCTGTGGTACCGTGAAGAGTCCTACGGGCGTTATTGTACAAATTCAAGTGTGCCACCTGACCAAATTCACGATTTATTGGCCTGTTAGTTTCGCTTTTCAAAACTGTCGTTTCTCATTTGCAAAATGCCTGCTAATAAATTTCTCCCTTCTCATTAGAGTGGGTTCAATTTATGAACGGCACTTTCGTTGGTGTATTTTATTATATGACAACAATACTATCAACAAAGCTTTTGTTCAAGCCGAGGGCATATTTTAAATTTGAATAATGCAAGAGTGGAAATAGTGATTCATCACAAACACCCACTACAATCTTCACCAAATTCAACAACAATTTTCCAAGCCTATAAATCGTGATGTCAGAAACATGACAACCCGATTGGCATATTTAGCGTTTTCTTTTTATCTTCTTTTCTATCTAAATGTTGTAGTTTTGTGAATTGTCTAATCACTTTCATTCAAACACTGAAACAAAATTACACAAGCAAATCTAAATAAATTGGGGCGTTCCTTGCTTCACGAGGTACAACTTTAGTATCAAGAAATAACTTTCATCGTCCACACAGCATGGGGCATGCTAATTTATACATAGATTTAGTGCACTGTCTTGGGAAGAAAATGAAATCGATCAAAGAGCACAAAACATGTTTTTTGCAATCAAGAAACTCTTTGATCTTATTTCATTTTTGCGATATTTTTAGTATGAGGTAGTTGTGTGGTTTGTTTTCTGGGTTTTTAATCCCAATTCAAATTCATTTATAGTGCTTATTATTAGAGATAGACAGTTGCAAAAATTCGGTTTGCGGTTTGTGTACTACTCGTTCGTTATGGTTAATGAAAGTTTATCGAAACGAGATTTCTACAATCAAATAAATTGATGTTTTTGAAATACCTCGACTTTAAAAAATTCTTTATTAACCTACCGAGCGTAGTCAAGCTGTTTCATTTATGATTAAATGATAATACGATGAGAGTTGGTTTATATCGTTAGTAGACTATGTGGGAACGTATTTAATTAATGCGTATCGATACTTTATTAGTACCTACCATATTTTACAACAAATTATGTTTGGTTTTGAGCTCTAATAATAATCTCGTTGCAAAGTTGAAGGTAAACAAATAGTAATTTCAAGTTTTTTTTTTATTTCTTACTTTTTTGTATTGATTGAATGTGACGTGGTTACAAATTTTATAATTTTATGGAGGTAATAAAATGGAGGATCTGGCCAAGACCTGTTTCATAAATTCAGGGAACATCTACCGGAGTTTTGTTCTATTTGCCGTTTAGAGAAATGGTAATTAAGGCCGATTTAATTTTTAATAAAAATGAACCAAAAAAAGACGCGAATTGAGTATTTATTAAAATATCATTCGATTTAAATTTTAAATTAGAAAGACGGTGAAATCATCTGCCATAGTTACGAAAAATATCCGGTATTTGAATAAATAATTTTTTGTTCAAAATTGCTGACTTTTGAAGCTTCCAAACAAGATTTTTTGGACACGGAAGTTGGGTACGATTTATTGATTAAAACTCTTCCATAATAAATATTTTTCAAGGTAAAGACGATTTTTGAAGCAATTTTTAATCGCCAAACGCTTTAGTTGTAGGCTGAAACCCAAACAAAAAAATCCTTATTTATTTTTTGTAACAGCAAGGAATAAATTTAATATTTTTCAGTTTTTATTATAATGATTGACCATGATATTTCTTATTAAGACCTGTCAAAACCAAATAATCTAAGGAAAAGATATTTGGAATTTATTAACGAAGATGTGCAAAACGCAGTAGTGAATTCATTAATGTTTTTTCATGTTAAAAGTAGGGAAGAGGCTTTAGCTATAAGTTTGGTTTAAAAAAATAATGTTTTGGAAAACAAAAATTCTTAGTGTATAACGTTACACAAAATGTATCAATTGCAAAGTCACAAATTACAACAAAATAATTAGTAAATTTACACAAGTCATTCGATTTTATAAGGACATTTTTCAATAAAAAATTGGTACTTTTACTCGTATTCAGCCTATACTCATACTAGAAAAAAACGAAGTTTTTGGAAAATTTCATAACGTTTTGAATTGCTAATTTGTGTTTTTGTGCAAAAGTAAAATATTTTGAAATCTGTTTAATCATCTAAAACGATAAAACAATTATAAATTAGAAGTACATTTTATTTATTTATCCTAGCTCTAGGTTTGTGGAATATTTTTTAATAATGTTTCAAATTTTATTTAATTTATCTACATATGTTTTAATTCTTTTTTATTTGAAGATTTAATTTCACAAACGACAAGGTCTATTAAAGTTAACGAGTGGATAAATTCTTGGATTGCATTGTTACAGGCATGTCAACGATTGTTTCTAACAGACCATTAAATTTTACTACCGTTAGTGAAATCAGGTCTATCTCATCCAAACCTACACATTTTTAAAACAAAATTTGAGACAAAAATAAAGCTCTTATGTGGAAGAAACCATGTATTTTTATTTTCTTCGTCTAAAGTAAAATTTACAACCGAGACCAAGTAAAGATAAAAGTTTCTATACTGTACTCAATCTTTATTACCTATAAAACGTTTCGACCAACCGAATATGTGTCTTTCAATAACTAAAAATGGTTCTGGAACTTTCTACATCCTCTAGAAACTGAAATCTCGAAAAGTGTGACAAGCACCAATCTTGCACGAAATTAAAAATAAACAAATAATTGTCACACAAGATATCACTTTCCCATCATCCAGGTCACCACAAAGATAAAAAGTATGCGTTTTATGTCGTGTTAATTCTTATTCATTGTCACAATAATCGGCTCGAATTTCTCCATGTAAAAGTCGAGTTGAAACTCGATGAGCCAACTCTCATCTCATCTCGTTAAATGGGCATTTTAATGAATGCGTTTTAGGAATTGGCACACAAGTTATCGCGGAGCTTCGACATGAAGGACGAGCAGGCCCTTTTGGAGGGCGAGGGCTGCATGCGCCGCCACCAGTCCATGCAGCGGCTGGCCCGCGACGGCGGCGCCGATGGACAGCGCGAGGCCGCTAGAGTAATCCAGGACGAGGAGGGCAATCTGCGGGTCACGGTGAAGAAGACAAAGCCCATTCTGGGGATAGCCATCGAAGGCGGCGCCAACACGAAGCATCCTCTGCCGAGAATCATCAACATAAATGTAAGAAAGACTTCCTGTGTACATTTTAGGTTTTAATCCCCACATATTGCAATTATGACACAGCCTAATGCATTCAGTGTAAGTAGTTATCGCGTACATACAGCTACTTAATTGCTATAAATAAGAGAATTTGTGCGATGAAGTGAAGATCGTGACAGTAGTTAAAGGACTTTATTGGTGAGAAATCGCTGACAGCGTATTATAACTTGTACACGGGTACATGTTAAAGTACCTACCGCTCATTACCGACCAACTTGAGGCTTAAGCTTATATGTTGAGATTTTTAACGCGATGAAACTTTGTAAAGAACGGTGGGAAAATGCTGCCGAGATGCGGAATTTACACAAATCCATTTTTTTGATTTATAAAAGGCGATAAAGGGAAGAAATAGAACATGTTGAATATAAACCATCGATTTTTTAGTCGCTACGTGCCATTTGTATAAATCACAATACCAGTAAATTCTAATATCATGAAGATGGTAACCGTGTATGAAACTATGATCCTGACATACTTTAAATTGCATATTGATAATTCGATTCATAAAAATTAAAAACATCTTTTTCACCTTAATTACTGTTCACAAAAGTTATGGCTTTTAACTAAAATTGACAGGTTATACGCATAATTTTAGGGTATTACAGATTATGCCAAATAATAACTAATAGTGAAAAAAAATCTAATAAAAGTTTGTTAGTTACCGAGATATACCGTGTTGAATATACTACACTGGCCAACACGGGATTTTGGACGATTTATGATTCGACTGACATAAAAATGTAAAACGGGCCTTAGGCAACTTACCTCACCTACGTTTTTTGTAATTTTTATCCTGATAGCTAGAGAATCTTTTCTCAACAAATCAAAATAATTTATTAAACTTATATAAAAACACGTAATGTTGGCATTATTGTTGAATTATTATTGAAAATCGACGCCAAAAGTATTTTGATTCAAAAATTTTATTAAAATCATAGATTTTTGAAAATTAAAGAACATTTGAAGAACGTCCTTTCCAGTTATTAGAAATTTTGTATACATTTAAAAATAAAACCTTTCTTCTATAATTTTGGCAGTTGTTGGCTTATTTGTTTTTAAAAGATGCCTAATCGAAAATATATCTTAATTTTTTAGCTACCTGATTTTATTGGTTATTAATGTTGAAAATGTTTGATAAAGTAACAATTGTTTTTTCGAAAATACCTTGAATTTAAACTTTTTTCGTTGCAATTTTCAAAATCCTGCGCGCATGTTATAATCTCAGTTACAAAATTCAAAACTCAAATTGCTTGACGGGTAATTAGTTTAATCAGTATTTTTTTAAACTTTCACCACCACAAACTTTCACCAAGTATCCAAAATGACAAAATTCTTTTTTGGGAAATTTGATGATCAACTTTGTTTATTTACAATATCGTGTAGCTAACATGCAAATGTAATTTCCAAATAAGAAATGAGTTGAATCATTTATTTCCATCGTATGTTTTTGCTTTAAAAAATAAGTGTGTTAATAGTAATATAAATTGTATGTGCATGTATCTACTTAATTATTAATTGAAAAATCTGACACTTTAATTACACGTTAGATAAGACGTTTACCATTTAAAGTCGTTGTTTTCCAAACAATAAACCTTTGAATGAATGCCATCTGAACGTTTATTAAAGTCTAGTGTTACAACCCGAGTGTCATATCCAACAAAGCGAACAGGAAAATGGGACATGACTGCTTTCCAATTCATTTCTTTATTTTGTATAAACAAGTTCAACTCAAATAAACAACTTCTGAACAATTGAACTGTGCCAAAGGTCGCGCAATAAACGTATAATAAGCTTTAACGTTCAAAAAACTGGTAAAACCTCAATTTTATAGTCAAATAAAATCTCCGTTGTCTGAATCCCACCGCGTATGTCAAAAGTCAACACGAGGGTGTAATTTTATTCTGAAGTAGAAATTAAGTGGGAGTTTCGCAACTCATGTGCATGATTTAATACAGGAAAACGGGGCTGCGTACAGCGCGGGAGGCTTGGAAGTGGGCCAGTTGATCCTCCAGGTGGACGGCACTCGTGTCGAGGGCCTCCAGCACCAAGACGTTGCCCGCCTCATTGCGGAGTCATTTGCGCGGCGAGACCGCGACGACATCGAGTTCCTGGTCGTTGAGGCGAAGAAGAGCAACATGGAGCCGAAACCGACGGCTCTTATCTTCCTAGAAGCCTAACACTTGCTTAGCCTCCCCGCTAGCGACCCTCCGGGTCCCAGCAACGTCACCGACTGAACTCTACTGCTACATATCATTGTATCATCAAGCGAGATTCCTTTGTTGGGCTGCGATTATCGTCTGGAACAATGAAATCTCGTGTAGGAGTAGTAGGTGGAGGGCTGTACCCGTTTGGAACACGTGGAGAGAACATTAGTTTCTTGCGAGCTGAGGGCATTGTTAAAGACTGAATTAATTTTTCGTGTTTTTCGAATGATTCGGGGGTTTGGAAAAAACGGGTACAGTTCTTTTTAGAATCAATATAATATGCATTCAAACCATTGTATTAAAACATCAGACTCATTAATTGTTACTTGTTGTGTACAGCTTTAGTATTACGCTTTCGTTGTAAGCAAATGGTTGTGCATATTATAGAGGGTCACTCGTCAAATACTGGTATTTGGCTGTGGCTTCGGTGACACCAATAGCGAATTCTAGAGGGAGAGGCACTTCTATATCACTCAAATGTACATACACAAAATTATATTGAGAGAAATATATCAAATTTTATTTTGTAAAAATGCAGTATTAACAAACAACGTCTAGCTAAATAATAGCTGTGCCAAAGTAAGCGAGCCTTAGTGAAAAACTGTTCGCTTCATCACTTTTATGTTAGTCATATAAAAAACAGAAGTTCCAGAAAGTGCACATTTATTTTCAATTTCCAATTGATTATTTTTGGAATTGCTGAAAAAATTCACGAAAAATTCAATGTCTGCCTTCACTGCATTTTGCAAAGCACTGTTGATTTTGTGCGCTGATGTAAATAATGTTATTTAATTTAGGACTTAAGTGCGTGATTATCTACTTTAAGTAGAGGAAATAGAGAGTAGAAATAGAGCTTAAAGCTGAGACATCAGAAATATTTATACTAAAACTAAATTCGTTGCGTCTTTATACAGATTGGTGATTTACAAAATGTAGCAATAAATAGCAAACAGTTTGTCATATCGGAGTATATTCTAAAGTGTTTTACATACAATTCATGAAAACATACTGTTGATCAATCTGTACAAAAACTGCAGAAATTTAGCTGTTATTGTTGCAAACCTGCATCGGCTAAAATTAAATGTATATAGATATATTAGGTGCTACATAACATTCATTTATTTCATGAAGATTTGTAAATTTTATTACTCTATTAACTAAGTTATCTATTTACTAATGTTAATAACTGTTGTTAAATGACGTGCGATTTTAATAATTATAACGAATCAGGGAATAATGTTACATTTATCTTGAATTAGTTGTTTGTTTCATTTTTAATGTTTACGTTTGTTGAATGAGAAAATTGATTATCGTTAATGTTAAACACTACAGTTAGCCAAGCTGAAGTTGCTTATTCCATAGGTTTTGAAATGATATTTAAAGATTATAGACTGTAATGTTTTACATAATTCGTAGCAGTCCTTCCCTTATTTTTTCAATCATTGTAAAATTATTGACGAATGACCAACAACCCATTGTAGTGTGCCAACTCCAGTAAAGAAACACATAGATTTAATTAAAAATAATGCGCTTCTAACAGTCGATTTACAAAGTAGCATTTTTCCATCACTTTTTATTTTTATATTGGTCACTAAATACAAATATTATACAACCTCGAAGGCTTATTCAGATTTTTCCAAACATTTGTTACGTTTTTTGGCAATCATTTTCACTTACAAAAACTTTGATGATTATAAAAATGACACGAATTAAAATCTTATTGTAATAGGTATGCACACGTGGAGGAAAATAAATATTAATTACCAAATTGTATATAATCCAAAAATTTACTATTATAAAATAGATCTGTTGTTTTATCGTTAGATTTGAATTGTTATTTTTGTCTGATCCTTTATTTATAAATACGTAAACTTAAGTGAATGCCACAATCACATTAATTAAAATTGTTTTACACTGTTCATACGCAATTTTAATAAAGAATGAAAATACTTACGATTTATTTTTGTAGTTTAAACCCTTTTTGAGCATTCGACAACTTCCTTTGGTTTTTGGGTAATTCCTTGATAAAAAATACTTTTCACTTATTTATTTGCATTTGCATAATTATCTTATCGATTATCTTATCGTATTGGATCAATAAATTTAACATTGCTATCTAATATTTACTTCTTTGTATATTATCTAAATTTTATTAGTATCTCTTAAATTATAAAAACATAATTAATATTTTCTTGGATTTTTTAGTTTGAATTTTAGGGATTTTGGCGGCAATTTTGACGCTTGACATTTCTTCAGCATGAGAACGCGCTCAAATGTTAGTTTCAACATAAAAACGTTTGTGGGCATTACCTGTTTGTTCCTTTACTGCGAATACATTATTTACTACGTTGTAATAAGTTCTGTGAGTATTTACACCTACTTTCCACACATAAATTTGTATGTCTGAAAGAAACAAAAAAGTGTGGTTATGTTCCCTGGTTTTGCAAATTGATTTTTGTTTATTTTAGTGCAAGTGGCCAGAGCTGAACCCTGATAATGAGGACCCAACAATCAAGAAAACGAATTATGACCCTGTCAAAGTCATGGTACTTGCAGATACACATTTATTGGGCTCACGAAATGGTCATTGGTTTGACAAATTGCGTCGCGAATGGCAAATGCATAGGGCGTTTCAGACCGCGATGAGTTTGTTTAAGCCTGATTTGGTGTTTGTCTTGGGGGACTTGACTGATGAGGGCCTTTACTGCAGCGACGCGGAGTTTGAGTATTACGTTAAAAGGTTCTATAGCTTGTTTGCTGTGCCAGAAACAACCAAGTTGTATGTGGTTGTGGGGAATCACGATATAGGGTTTCACTACAGGTTTTCACTTGTTTCATTTTTGCAACAAAGTTACGTTGAGTTTTCAACAGGGTTAGTCCGTATTTAAATCAGAGATTTGTGGCTGCATTCAATGCTCCTGCAATTCAGTTAATAAGTGTGAAAGGTAACCATTTTGTGCTAGTCAACAGTATGGCTTTAGAGGGCGATGGGTGCTTTTTATGCAAACCAGCGGAACAACAATTGACAAGGATTGAAAGTAATTATCTATTCCTTGGTATAATTTACCTTAAATTTCAATCTTTCAGAAAAATTAAAGTGTACTAAAGGTGACTATAGTGGCAAATGTGACTCAAAACTTGACATTTACAGTAAACCAATTCTTATGCAGGTAAGCAAGTTTTATGTTAAATATTATTTCAAATGAGTTTTTACAACTTTTCCAGCATTACCCACTTTATAGAAAATCAGACATGGAATGTGACGATTTTGACGCAGCCCCTGATCCGATAAAACGTGAACGTTTCCGTGAAAGATGGGAATGCCTGAGTAAAGAAGCTACAACACAGCTTTTAAACCAAATTAAACCCAGGTTGGCCTTATCAGGCCATACTCATCATGGGTGCACAAGACCACTACCAAACGGTGATGGGATTGAAATCACTTTATCAAGTTTTAGTTGGAGAAACAAAGAAAATCCTAACTTTGGACTTGTAAGAATTTTCTTTCCTAATTTACTGAAGTCGATAACAATTCTTTCAGGGTGTTTTTACTCCAAATAATTACGCTTTTACAAAATGTGAGATGCCAAAAGAATTTACTGTTATTGCTTTATATATTATTGGAGTGATTTTGTTGTTGCTTTGGCTGATCTGTACGAAGTATAAATACAAGTTGCGCTGACGTTTCTGCCCCTTTTGGGGCTAATTGAGGATCCATTTTGTGTCGTGTAGTCATTAAAAGTATTTTTTTATCTGGTTATGCTTTTTTAAATTTTTTCTTTAGTATGTTTTTTTATTTATTTTGTTGTTTTTCGAGTAATATATTCATTACTTGAGTCTTTTTTGTTTAAATCCTATAATATTTTACAAATCTGTAAAAATAAAACTGAAATATATTTAAATACCTAGCTTGGATTTGTGATAAGTAAATGAAGAATATGCTTATGCGGACGCTTATTTTTTATATAATTTATGTTGCACAGTTTATTTTCATGTTTGTTATTTCTATTTTAAAAGCTTCATATAAATAACAAACGTGTGCCAAATTAAATTTTCTTGTTCAAACCTGAACATTAAATGTTGTAGTTGCAAAAAGTAGTATTTTTTAAAGACTGATTGTGCTACATTTTTTTGCAAAGGTGTTGTAAATGTCTACAAAAAGAAATATTTTTGTACTAAATATTTTACCGTAGTGTTTTTTCTGTATAGTTACCTATACAAATACAATTGTAAATAGTCTTTGTGTGGTATTAGAAGAATAAAAATATTACTATATCTGCGCATTTCTACTAATAAAAATGCGATAAAAGTAGACTCCAATTAATTTTAGTCTCCTTTAAATTAAACTATTCTTGATAAAATGCATCTCGCAAAACTAAATACGCAGATTGTTAAAGCCCAAAATTAGAATTCCATATTAACCTATTTCAATATCTCTGAACTTTGATTATTATAGATACCAACTTTCAAGCCATTTTGTAAGTGTGGGTTAAATAATAATTTGGTTTAAACAAAAACGATGGAATTTTTTTTAGATTAATAAAGGTAAAATTGTTTATTAATTCTCCATAAATAAATGTTTACTTAATTATCTAGTTCATTACTAGTCGTGTAAAAAACCATAATTGGTGTTAATACAAAGTTATCAATTAAAGATTATAAAACTGACAAAATTACAATTTTTACAAGTAGGTGTAATAAATCATTTATGACGAAATTCAACAGTTTATAAATATTTTATTTGCCAAAAGATATCTTCGTTTCTTTTATCTCAGTTTATATATTTTTAATTGCGGAATTCCAACAATATTTCTCCACCCAAATGTCGATAGCTTTGGAAATATTTAATCAAGGTTACGTGAATAACCCTTCCGTTTTTGCTATTCATGTTTTACGTAAATCGGTATTTTTTATTTTGATATGAGTGTATGCAGCAATACTTGTTACAAATTTTTTTGGGAAAAAAACAAGATGTTTTTCTCCGGCCACTGGACCAGTGGATGTTCGTATAGTAACCATATCGATCACGACAATTTTTGCGTAATAAACTTATAAATCAACAAATTTTTGATTATTTGTTGCTAACAAGATAAAAAACAAACAATATGAAACCGACGCTATATCACTTTTGAAAAGTCATTGTTGCTCAACAGCAGGAGTGATAATTATGAGAAAAGTCCAGAAAATTCATTTTTAAGGCAGGGGTCAGATTAAGGAAATGTTTGGTTATTTATTCTTAACTGATCGACAAGAGCAACCTCTACTTTAGGTAATAATGACAATAATATTGAAATGTGCAAAATGTAATCGGGTGAACCCTTTCAAAATTGAATCAACAATTATTAGATCAAGAATTTCAAGTTTCAATAATATTTATGTTAAAAGATCACTTAATTTCAAGTTAATTTCTCACACTTGAACCTTTTTTTCATTAATTTTATTTTTAGTGAATGTTTTTAAATAAACCAACGTTTAAACAGCCCCTCACTGTTTTCATTTATTTTATATTTAAATTCGTTCGTTTTTCTTTCCGTTCCGTTGGCGGAATTTTTTTTCTTCAGTTGATAGTAATTTTCAATTTTCTAAAATCACATTTGCAATACGGATATGTGTTTGCAAACAGATCAAAGTCCTAACTTTATTCAAATGACTTATGAAAATACTATTGATAAAACGTTTGCTTTTTTATTGAAATTTGTGTATTTTTTTGGCAGTTGTATTCGCGTTTTATTAAATCATGTTGAAAAAACTACAATGAAACTAGAATTTATATTTATCACAACTCACAACGGACGACACTTTTCTGGTTTTGATTACATATTTTGAGATACTGAGTCATTGAACTGTCCTATACATATTTTTATTGTAATTTTTACACAGAATTTTGAAAAACTTAAAAAAAATATTGTGAACCATCCTGCACATACTACCTACAATAAATCTCCTAGATTGTTTAAAATATGAAGTAACTTCAAACATTTTTTCAGTATGTTTCGAGACGAGGCCTTCTCAAAGACATCAAAAATAGTTAATCAACTGAAATTTATGAGCTTCTCGTAAAACTTCTACCAAAAAACTTTGTGAATTTTGTGTTTTATTAGTTATTATTTCCAGGTTATCAAAATTTTTAGTTTCTTGCATTTTACTCAAATAGATATAATAAAGGTGTTGCGCCTTTGTCCCACTAGTCGTGAGTTATCAACACAATCAACCTACATACAAATTTACGTTTTCTGTTTTTTAACCACAGAGTATTTTTATGATCATTTTATAAACATTTAATTCAGATTAATGAGATGCTGACTTAGTGTATGACCCATGTCATATTAAATCAAATTTTCAGATGAATCTTTGTGATTTCATTCAATTTCATTCTTAGAACATTAATTCAAAGCGTGTTTATTTATACAGGGCTTTCATTTCAAAAGGATCCAGTCTCAATAACTTTTGACATTGAGTAAATGTATTTTCAAGCAAAAACAGGTTGATTAGGATCCCGAGGGGGAAGTTGAAAACCAACATTAGTTACATTTTAAGTTTCATCCGCTAGTCGCTAGCCCCCCTACTTTAAAATTTTAAATGGCACCCCCTACTTTTTAGAACGTTTTCGGAAAGAGAAAAAATTAGCGTCTCTAAATGTAAAAGAAAAATTTTTTTGGCGATTTGTTCTTCAGTTAGGGGTGGTTTAATTTTTGAAATTTTTAGTCCTAGTAGCCTTTGATTGAACTCAATTTAATTTAAGTAAAAAATATGTAGATTTGGGTTGCGATGGGAGAGTTTAAAAACAACATTAAAACGTTTTACGTTTCATCCCCTAGTCGCTAGCCACCCCTACTTTAGAATTTTAAATAGCACCCCCTACTTTTTGAAACATTTTCAGAAAGGGAATGAATGAGCGCATCTAACTGTAAAAGAAAAAAATTTTTTTGTCGATTCGTTTTTTTAGTTAATTGTGGTTTAATTTTTGAAATTTTTAGTCCTAGTAGCTTTTGATTCAACTCGATTTAATTTAAATAAAAATAATTTTTTAATTAACTGAACTGTCAAATGGTAAATTTTCGCACCACCGCCTTCTTAATAAAATGTGTTAGATGACACATAATCAAAGTTAAAGGCTACTAGGACTGATTAAAATTTCTAATAATAAAACTACCCCTAACTCAAAAACGAATCGACAAAATATTTTTTTTCATTTACGATTAGATAAGCTTTTTTCCACCCCTTTCAAAAATGTTTCAAAAAGTTGGAGGGGCTCTTTAAAATTGTAAAGTAAGGGTGGTTAGTGACTAGGGGATGAAACCTAAAACGTATTTAATGTTGGTTTTGAATTCTCCCATCGCAATCCAAATCGACATATTTTTTATTTAAATTAAATTGAGTTCAATCAAAGGCTACCAGGATTAAAAATTTCAAAAATTACACCACCCCTAACTGAAAAACAAATCGACAAAAAAAATTTCTTTGACATTTAGAGACGCTGATTTTTTCTCTTTCCGAAAACGTTCTAAAAAGTAGGGGGTGCCATTTAAAATTTTAAAGTAGGGGTGGCTAGCGACTAGGGGATGAAACTTAAAATGTAACTAATGTTGGTTTTCAACTTCCCCCTCGGGATCTTAATCGAGCTGTTTTTGCTTGAAAATACATTTCCTCAAGTCAAAAGTTATTGAGACTGGATCCTTTTGAAATGAAAGCCCTGTATATTTTTTCACATTATAAAGTTTTAAATGTGTTTTGACCTATAATATTATTAGTCCATGTAAACAAAATTATTGATTTTGGATTTTGATCATAAGGTTTCGAGATTACATATCACTCATATTACCTTTCTTGCTTGTTTCCGATTTCATTAATTTTTGACCTTGTTTAACCGAAATAAAACTAGTTAATATATTTATAATGGAGAATATATTTTCGTATAAAATACTGAATAATTTACAGAGGTAGGTGTCCAATAGCGATAAAAATACGTACAAAACATAAATAAATCAATACTGACAATAAGACTAATCCTACTTAGCTTATAATTACAAATTAAATATAAATAATAAATAAATGTACAAAATTATATAACTAGCTATCGCGCCACTGACATTTGACTCGCTGAACTTGGCAACAAAACTGATATTCGGTGTGTTTCCAAGTAGTAACTAATGGACGAATTCATGAGGGTTTTAAACACTAATCTAAGAAGCGATCTATTCGGGAATATCACTAATATTGAAACCTCCCGGCTTTCTGAAAATCCTTTCATGCATGGGGAGTTCCCCGATTTCGAACCGACTGAGGGCCCTAAGGGCTTGCTTGCTATGGCCGGAGCCTCGGAAAGCCACACTGGCATCGCGGCCGGCGTATTCCAGTAAAATGTCGCCGCCTCCAGGATGCTGAAGCAATAAATTTATCATTAATTTCAAAAATCACAAAAATTGATTGTTAATTACCTCATCGAGGAAATCAGTGATGTCGTATACTCTGTCGTAGATAATTATCCAGCAATCGTTGGCGTTATCATGCCAGGAGACTTCTTCCATTGTTATGAGGCGTTCTTCTGGGAGCTTCACCGGCGTGCTGTACCGGACTATGGCCAGGGCGGAGGAGAAAAACCCGGAGTTTAGGACTGAAGATATCTTGGCCATTTTTGCACAATTTAATAACACAACACCACTTGTTACACCTATCGAACTCTATCAAGGAATGATTGGATAGTTCGATGTCCGCGCTGCTTAAATAGGCGAGTTTCTTGTCTGATGAAAGATTTTTGGCGAATTACTTTACGATTTCACGCTTAGCTATCGGACGTCCACGAGATTAATCAAGAAGTCTGCTGAGTGCGTAGATAATCGTTAGATGTGTTGTAATAACTATTTTGAATGTAATCATAACAACTTTTTGCACGTATTTTTTGATTTTTTTCAACGTATTTGTTGAGAGATGTTATTTCATCTTGTTGGGAAAGTTATTTCTTGGATTTTTTACTTGCGTGGTGTCACACGTAAACAGGAATTGATTTACGCGATTGAATTATCAAAATATTTTCTTCGATATGGTGTGATATAAATACGTAAATCTAATTTTATTTTGTTTTAAGTTTACATTATGATTCTTTGTTTGCTTGATTTTTTCACATTTTTGTAGATAATTGTGACGAAAAATGTTGTGAAAATTTAGATGGACGTAATTGTTATAAATTATTATTAGATTTAAATTTATTTCTGTCAAAACTGTGAAAATATTTATTTTGCGAAATATTCCACTGATGTTTGCTAGCCTTGATTTTTAAACGTCGTATTTCGGGAATTTTAGATTTTTTTACCTCAATTAATTTTAGATTACTAAACAGAGTACTATAGTATTTCGGGAATTTTGGATTTTTTTTACCTCAATTAATTTTAGATTACTAAACAGAGTACTACAGTATAAACTGGCGTTTCTAATACGGAATATTTAGTTATACCTACTAGTAGAAATTTAAAAAAAATATAAAGAAATTGAGTTTTTTAAATCTTATGAATACAGATGCGCCAGAACTTGCCTCCCAAAGAAAAATGCCATATACGGTAAGATACCAGGACCATGGAAAAAATGTTAAAAAAATTCTATCTACAAAAATTTCGAAGTTACGAGAGTTTAAATTTTGCACTTTGACTCTATTTATTTCTATTCGAAAAATAATTTTCCAAGTTTTTTGATTACAGGCTATTTGAAAAGGAAACAAGGAAACTGTATCCTAAATTGTAACTCTGTTCAATGTTATTTGTGGCTTTTATTGACAAAATTTTTGTACCTTTGCTAAATAATTATAAAAAGAACATATACAAGATCATCAGTATTATTGATTAGACATGAAAAAAATTCAAATGTTAAAAAATAAATGTCAAATTTTTTTGCCAGATTGAATTTTAAAAATATTTTTATGTTCCTGATGGAAGCTTATCTTACTTGAAAATTTTCTCTGGAGCGCGAGTTCTGACACACAGTAGGTAATAAGATGAAATTGACAAAAGACAAATTAATATTAATGTAATACATTTTTTTGATAAACTGTTTTCAAAAATTTAATTAAGTAACATAATTTTTGTATTATATAGACTTTTTTTATTTTAAGTTTGATTTTACGTAAAACAATAATATTTTCATTGATTTATAAAAATTAATAACATCTATTTTTATTTTCTGAAATTTAAAATGTTATTAAATAGTTATATATATAGACTTATTTACGCTTATTTAGTAACAAATAGAGAAGGCCTATTTCGTACAAAAATTATGCTAATTAATTTTATTTGAAAAATAGAAAAAAAATGTTAATTAATAATCATTTGTTTTTTGTCAAGGTCATCATAATTTTCTTCAAGAAATGGTTTGTTAAATTTTTTATCAAAAAAAATACATTTTTATTCAACTTGTCGTTTGTTAATGTAAAATAAATATCAACTTAATTCGAATTAGTTTAATTCTGAATTAAATTTTAATTTCGTTTTCGGTAAACTGGCTCCTAAAGAATTTTATCTTGAAATTAGGTCTAGTTTACAGTACGATAATTTACGACCCTGCCTGCTTGCGGTTAGAAGTGTCGGCATCCACAGCAGGGGCTGGTTTCTTGGGGTGTCATTTTCACTTTGTTCGACTGTACATACTTCACTCTCTTGCAGTCATACTAATGTTTTGTTAAAAATTATAAGAATGGATTCAGATGAATTAAACATAAACTTTTTTAAAATGTTGTTAATTACTATAGACTATGATGAAGTTTTAAATTTATGTAATTTATTCTTCGACACTGTCAAAATTTACGGTTTTTCTCCCGTGTAAGGAAGTTTTGACAACTGTTTGGCATTTCTCAATACGAAACGTCAGATTATTTTTAACAGATTTAAAGCAAGTTTAAGCCTTATTATGACGCCTATTCTGTACTTTTTGTGTTAAAAATAACAGTCCTGTTAAATGTTAAATTATAACATGCCCGTTAAAAATTTAACACAAATTCTTATTCAGTACACAACAATTTTAACACTTCTGTTATAGTAAGCTGTTAAAAGAAGCACTGTTGCCACATCGCAATACTTTTGAAAATAGCTAATTTAACTTTATTGACAATATATAAATACTTTTAAACATCAAAACTAYAATATTATTAATTGTTTTTTACTTTTGTGTTGATATTCATCTTTTGAAAAGCTATTAAACGCGACAATTTAAATTAAATATCTAGACGGCAACTGACAAAAGTAAAGTTGACGTCTTGTCAGTTTTGTCTTGCGCATAATTCCCCTGTTCAAATTGCTACATGTGTGCCGTCATATTTTTGAATAAATAATCGTTTATCAAGTTGATAACTCCCATGACCAAAAAAAAAGGTATAGCAGCATGGTGCAAGCCGCCGTTTACATGAAGCTAAATCAAATAAATCATTAATTAAACATTGAGCTTCTTCCTTATTCAAACGAAACAATTTAAAAAATGTACCGTCCGACCCGTCGAATGGATTTGCAGCATCAAGCAAGTTTCTATTAATTAATCGCATGCGACGACTAAAAAAATTAATTACATTGTTATTGCTACAAATATACAACTATTTTGAAGACGGTATGTTGTCTTTTCCTCTTCTTCTTCATTTTGTAAAAATAAAAACACTACAACTGCTGCCATTTCAGTTTGACAATCATTTAACACCCCTGTTATTTTTTTAAAGGTATGCTATTAACACCCTTCAAAATTTTAACTTTAACAGTATAAATTAACATATGATGGTTAAATTTTAACATAATTTTGATTTACAGAATACCAATTTAGGATATAACAGGGTGTTATTTTTTAACATACTGTTATAAATTAACACATCAGTTACAGAATAGGCCTCAATGAGTCTAATTCGAAGAATAAAATGTTGTATTCAACTCTTTTGAGTTCTCGTGGAATAAATAACTATTATTACAAAGGTTTAAAAAAAATAGCTCAGCTCTTTTTTTAAAGGATGAATTGAACGTTTGTATTGATTTGTATTGAAAAACTGAATTGAATAAAAGAATTTAAAAATATATTTTTTATATATTTTTTGTCGCAGAAATTAATTATTTACAAAATTTTCTAGTCAGCGCATCATTTTTAGAACTGAAATGACTGCGTTTTCGGTCGGAAAGTGAATAATCAATTCAAATTTGGCGCTTCTTTGCGAATCAACTGGTGCACTTTTTAGGGGATCGTGTTTTAATATGTTGGCAACACTTGTGTGTATTGCAGTTGCGGTCAAAAGATGGATTTGTTTATGGAGAATTTATAAATAGTATCCTTTCATCACCACCCCTAAGCCATTATTCACCCATTTTTAAATGTAGGTTATTTCTAAAAGTGTAACAAATCGCATTCCTGAACCAAAGGTGAGCATTTTAAGATCTAATCGATTTGTAGTTGCATAACCTTTTCTTAGTACTTAACAATGGACAATGCCAAAAAAGACCAAACTACGGAAGACAGAAGACTGTGGATTGGAAACCTTGATCCTAGAGTCACCGAGTAAGTATTTTCTAAATTGTTTTAATATAAACTTACACGCGACATTTCTTTTTACTGGTATCACCTTCTGAAACTTGTGCAAAAACATGGTGCCATTGAAAAGTTTGATTTGTTGTTTCATCGAACTGGACCTTTAGCGGGACAGCCAAGGGGTTATGCGTTTGTTACTTATGTCAATAAAGAAGATGCTGTTCGAGCAAAAGATGTACTAAATAATGTTTTAGTAGGCCAAAGAAAAATTGTGGTAACTTGGGCACACAGTGTGAACAATGTACTAAATCGTACATATAAATATGTTTTGTTGATAATCTGCTTTTAGGAAGAAATTGAAAAACCTAAGCCTGAGATAAATATTCCAGCATTAGCCATGTCTAAAAGTGAAAAGAAGACAGACAGAGAATCTCAGATTCAAGCCATAGAAGCCAAGTTGAAACTAATGGAGAAAAAAGCCGAGGATGAACTCAAAATCAATGACACTGTTGCAACAAAACCACCAGTTATAACACAGTTTCAGTACAATAAACAAGCAGTTACCAATAATAGTCTGAAAACCAAATCACTTTTAAAACGACACGATAAATATGCTAAGCCTTACAGTAAACAAAAGAATAGTAGGTAATAAAGGAACTGAAAACTGAATCTCAGGAACAAGTTGATTTTTAGCCATTTTAAATTTATTTATTAGGTTTTCGTATGTAAATGATGTCAATTTTTAATTGTCTTAATTTATCTCTTAATTTCTCTTAAATTTTAATGTGTATACATTCAAGAATATTATTATTCTGTCCAAGTATTAAACCAACTAACTGTATTAGGCATTAAGTAATTTATTATTTTAAAATAAAAATCAAGTATAGTTTTCAAATACAGATCTCACAAACTTATAGTTTTAATTTAAATTTATGTTGAAATAATTAATGAGAAATAAAAATGGAAAAACCTGTGCCCATACCTGTCATCATACGTCGCAAATATTTGATTTCTACACTGGCTTACACGAAATTTTAAACATCAAATTTATGACAGTTCAAAAAATGTCAATGTAAGCCACGCTTTATTGTCATTATGACTGACGTTTGAAACTAAAATTTGAAAGTTTTAGTTGAAATTTATTTTTGGCGTCGACTTTCCGAAACAATAAACGCCAGCAATACGTGTTTTTATATAAGATCAATAAATTATTTTGAGTTGTCATTTTTTCTTTCGCTCTCAGGATAAAAATTACAAAAACAAAAGTCAGGTTAGTTGTCTAAGGCCCATTTTACATTTTTATGTTAGTCAAATGACAAGTCGTCCAAAATTCCGTGTCCGCCAGTGTATGTTACAGTGGAACCCTACTGACAATTTTTGAGCCAGAAGGTTCCACTATTTCATAATGTGATAAGTAACACGAGATAAATGTATATTTGGTTGCATACGTCACATTTATTAAAATGTGTGGCTGGCTAATAAAACACTTTTTAGAAAAAATTTATAGTCTTATCATAATAGTTATAGTGTTTTTGTTTAATATATTTTTTTAATTTTATTAATCACAAATGTTGACTTATGAAATGGGGTGTTGCCAGATCTCGAATAGAGTATTTATTATCATTATCAAAAAATTGTCTTAAATTTATTAAAATTATTTTGATTTTGCACAAATTATTTTATAATAGTTTTTGCTAATGATGTTAATAAGAGAACAAAATAACTAAAACGTTTTTGGAACAATTAAATTTTTATTTAGGATTATTATTATGATTCAACCATCTGGCAACACAGTGAAGAAACATTTGGTGTCTTTCGCCGCTCTATGTTGGTGTTTCTTGTTAGTTATATTCAAACGAGAAAACCGTTAAGTTTGAGTTAAAATAAATTCTTGAAGAATTTTTGTTTGTTTCCAAGAATTATTGAAAAATGAGTGAAAAAAAGTCTTCTTTACCAATGAAGGTGTACTTAAGGCCAAGGTAAGTCACGTAATCGTTACCAAGTTTGATATACTCATCAAACATTTCCAGACCTTCGGGGAGTACTGAAAATAAAACTTCAATCATTCGCCATATTACGCCTCGCGAAATTGTAATAAAAAATGGCCCAACTGATAAAAAGTATATCTTTGATCATGTCTTCAACGAGAATGCTTCGCAACTTGAGGTTTATGAGACTGCTGTAGCCCCCTACGTTAGTAGCATTCCTGAAGGGTACACTTGTACAGTTTTTGCTTATGGACAAACGGGCACTGGGAAGACACATACGATGTTTGGCGAGCATGATCTAGGCTTGGATTGCGACCTCAGAACGGTAAGTTTTTGTTGGAAAATTTACGATCTAAGACTAGGCTAAGCCGACCCAAAAAACTGGTTAAATCTTTGTAATACAATGGAAAAATTGAACACACTACTATACAAATCATGCACCTAGCTCAATAACTAAAAAAATGATTTTGTGCAGGGGAAGTAAAAAAAAAGCGCACAAGAGTTTTTCTCAGATTATCGCCTACTCAAATGTATTTGAAAACAATATCATTAAACCTAAACAAAAAACTGTCTAAGAAAATTTAGAGACAAAAACGGGGACAAATTCGCTGCCGCTGAGGTGTTAACATAGGGTGTTAAATGTCAGATTAATAACTTTCAATACGATGGTTTGTTCACCGTCGTCTGCGTTGATTGACAGTAATAAAAATCTGGGCCATGTCTGGGCAATAGGCCAAAATCGTGAACTTGTCAAAATGGTAAGTTCCAAAGGAAACTGTAATTTGTGAAATTTGAAAATTTGCAAGAAATTAAATGTTACAGTTGTTGACACATTTAATAAAATATTGATCTGTCACACAACTAATTCATTTTTTCAGCTTAAGAAGCGCAGTATCAATATCATTCAGACATTACATTATAATTTTTAAAATGCCAAGTATCCGAACTTGCTGTATTCCAAACTGTGGGCAAGGGGAGAAAGAGGATGTTGTTTTACATCAATTTCCAAAAAGTAGAAATAAAAAAAAAACGAATGGCTTAAGAGATTATTTGGTACAGTGATGGACAGTAAATTTCGTCCACCCAATTTCCTTGACAGATTAAAAGTGTAAATTAGTCTTTAGGTTTTCCTAACCTTGTTTCAGAATTTTGATTAACGTTTGTCATGTTGACAGAAGGCTCGATAATTTTTGCTACTTTTTACCTTTGTCCTTCGAAATGGTAGTCCTTGGTATGCCCAAAAGTATAGAGACACGTCTTTGAGACATACCTCTTGTACCTTCATGTTCGAATTTGATTAAATTTGACAATTCGTATTTGAATGTCAATTATCATGACAATAAAGCACAGACTACAGTGAATTTTTGTGAATTCACAGAAATTGGGTGGACGAAATTCACTGTCCATCACTGTACCATCGGCAATATACCGTGATTTTTGGAAAACACTTTGAAATAACGAGCTATTATAAAAACAAAAAAATTTTACCAAATGCAGTTCCATCCTTGCTCTTGAATTATAAAAGAATTACTCGTTTTCAGGTAATTTCTACCACTTCCATTAATTCAGAAGGTAAGCCGTTAAAAACGTCTGCACCGTGTCTCTAATCTCCAGTCATTTGACAAAAATTATATAATTTCAAGTCCATTTCGATTTGATCAACAAAGCGATTTAAAAGTAGGTGACACTCATGATTTTGATTTAAAAAATGTTTCAAATGCAATAAGTTCGGCAAAAATTTGTCTTACTAGATAAAATTCAAAATTTAGAAAAAAAGTTACAGGAAGTAAATGTAAGATTTCAAAAGTTGAATAAGCTATATGAAAATAAACTTGAAAAACTAAAGAAAATGCAGGAAAAAATTGACATTTACAGTAAAGGTCAACATTGTGTAGTGAAAATTGAGTTAGATGAACTAAGGGCTGTGTTTTTACTTGATCAAATTTATAATTATTCCCTAAAAAACCCAAGATGGTCTGAAGTTACAGTACGTCATTGTATTGCCTGGAGGTATATTTCTTCAAAAAATTATGAATTTGCGAGAAGAAGTCTGTTTTTAAAAGCTCCATCCAGAAGAACTTTAGACAGACATATGGGAAATTCTCAATGGGATCCAAGCTTGACTAATTTAATTAAAAACAGAATAACTGCTAAAAGCAATTATTTAAAAGACGTTGAGAAAATATGTTTATTTTTTTAAATAAATAAAATTATATTTGCGTATAAAATGTTTTAATTTTTGATGTTTTTCGTCCAGTTCTTAGAAAAAATTCAAAAGTAAACAATTACGCATTTATTATTATACAACCCATAAGACACAAGTAAATTTTTGTATACAAAAATTTATCAAGGTTTCAAACCAAAATATACAGATTCCATTGGAAAGCGGACTCGTCGCTCCCCCAACTGCCATTTTTTGGCATTGCCCAGACTTTTATTACTGTCAATCAACGCAGACGACGATGTTCACAATCGAATTTTCATGGATAGCTTTGAAACTAAATTTAAATAAAAAACACCTAAAAAAGCCTATAACAAATCAATTTGATTTGTGTCTATTTAGTCGCAAAAAAGTTTCCGAAACTAAATAGAAAACCAGTTTTTGTAAAATAAAATAGTGACATATGTTAATTGTTTTATGAAAATGGTTAAGCACTTTAGGGACTTAGCTGCGGAATTAACAAAAAATAGTTAGTTGATAATGATTTTTGGCAGGGTTAGAATACCCTTAATGTATAATAGTAAAAATAGGCATGTTAGAAACTAAATATTTTATTTAATAATCCATATAATAATTTTTATTTCGTACTCAATGTTAAAGAGTACTTTTATGAACTAATTTCAGTAGATAAAGTAGTTTTTTATCGTCTAGTGAAATAAAGTAATTTTTATCTACTGTTTATATTCAGCCAGACACAAGAAATTCTGGTAGGTGAGTACATAATAAAACGAAATATTATACACGACGATAAAGATTGTTTATAATAATACAGAGTGGTTATAAATGATTTTCATCTAGCCAGCTGTGAATTTTCCATGTAAAATAAAAAATGCCGCTTTACGAAAATAGGGGTACCTACTTGTTGTAACTCAAAATTAAAAAATCGCCGTTTACTAAGCGTCCATTTCGAAAATAGACTTCAATTATAAACTTGTTTTCTTTCAAAGTATACATTATTATCGATTATTATTGGAAATTAGTTGAAACAATAAAAATTTTATTAACAACAATTTATTATTAATTAATAAGTGACACTAATGACAAAACTAGAGCTTTCAAAAAAGTAGAGCGGCACAAATAAAGTTACATGCAAAAAAATTCCAAAGCTGGCTAGATGAAAATCATTTATAACCACTCTGTATATGTATAATAAATAACTATTTCACAACCGATAATTTTATACCAAATATGACTTAATAACAATTGTAGGATACCTCTATCGGGATAATTCTGCGAGCTACTCAACAACTTTTTATCGCCTTGGGTAAACTTAACGAAAAAACTGATTACACAGTGAGGTTCTCCTTTATTCAAATAATAAAAGAAGAAGTTCTTGATTTGCTGGATGATAGTACTCCTTTGAGGTTTGTTACGGCTTAAAATCAATAGAAATCATTTTATATTTTTTTTATGTGTAGAGTTTATGATGATCCATTGAGTAAAAGTTCAGCATATACCAAGAGTATGGCAAAACTTACTGTTTTTAATGTTGATGATGTTAATGAGTGGATTAATGTCGGTAAAAAGTCACTTACGAAGAATGGTGGAGGTTCTCATTCTCATCTTATGATCATCTTCTCGGTGGACATTAGAGAAAGGACTTTTAACGGTGCAGAGCGTCTCAGAGCCGGTCGTTTGAATTTTATTGAGTTAGCTGGAAGTGAAAACATGGTTCGTCCTTCCCAACAGAGAGCCAAAGATTTTTCAGTGCTGAATAAGTCACTTATTACGTTTGGGAATGTCATTAAAGCTCTAGAGCAAAAATTGCAGTACGTTCCATACCGAGAATCGAAACTGACTCGACTTTTACAAGACAGCCTCGGCGGCAGCGCCAAAGTTTGTATGATTGCTACATTTTTTCCCAACAGTCATCATATTGATGAAACCATTAATACATTGGAGTTAGCAACTGCAGCAAAAAGTGTCGTTAATTGTCCACAAGTTAATGTCTGCAAAAAACAAACGGACGTTTCAAAAGAACTTCAAGATGAAATAGCGAGACTGAGAAATCAATTAACGGCAGCAAGATCAGGCCAAGGCTTTTATCTAACAGCGCATAGCTATAATAAATTGACACAAGAACAAAAAGATGAAGATAAGAAAGTAATTGAACGGCTCCGTCAAATTCACGAATTGCAAGAACATAATAGAACACTAAAGGCTCAGTATGCCAAGGAAAACGAGTCGTTTCTAAGAACCAAAATGTATATTGAAGATACCGAGAAACGGTTAAAAGAGAAACAATACAAAACAAAAGAAAAAGAAACTCTCTTAGACGTTTTGACCGAAAGAAATAAAGAAATGATTCAAAATGCAAGCAGAATGCTTGATATTTGCGAAAAGACGCTTAAAGAAGAAGCAATTATTTACAAAAAATATCAAGAGAAATGTCAGTCAAACACAAGCAATACTAATGTAGCACAGCAAATTGTAGAAACTACGACTACTGGCATTAAAGATATTGAACAGGCGACAATTACTTACGCCAGTGAGCAACAAAGTCGCATTAAAGATCAACCTGAATTTAAAAATGAACCAACTGATGTGCAACCTATCATGGATATGGCGTGCTCAATAGAAAATTTTAAAACATTAGATGCCCAACAACTTGTCAACAACGACTCGGACTGTTGCAACAAAGCTCACGTAGCAGAATTCATCAACATGGTCCACACTAATATTACAGAGAAATTAATAATCCCAGATGAAATTAAAGGTAAATGGGAAGAGGTAAAGAAGAGTACTATTAGTGTAGATGAAGAAAATAAACAAAAAGTTGCAGAATGTGTCGCTAAGGTAGGTTTGTCCAACTTTTTTTATTGCAAATTGTACACCCAGGGAAAAAAACTATTCACCAGTCTAATTTTCTGCTCACACTGCGCTTTGTTACAATAGTGTTTCCAACTAACTAGTTGGGGAGCAGGTAATATGTCGAAAGACCCTTATTTAGGAAGTTGGTCCGGACTCGGGGACACACGTTTCTTCAAAACGGTCTTTTTCTGAAAATTTCTTCAATGAGTAGAGATTATTAAATGGTGATTATAGTAATTTGCAAAATGACACTAAGCAAATTTTAGAGAAAAAAATGGATGCCCATGTATTTCATTACCTTAACTAAATTTTTGTGATTTACTTTTAATTTTATTGACAAATAGCTAGTTTCTTCCGTTTTTTATATTTATTTTTATTACTTCTAAACAAAGCAAAAAACCCAAAGTGGTAAAATAATGCCATAATAACAATAATAACTAATATTATACAGTATGTCCCCGGATTTTTTTTATTTTACACTAACACTGCAAAAGAAAAAAAATTTTGCTTCATCTGAAAGTTCATTATTTTCACTCAGTGGAAAGAAATTTAATTTTTCTCTTGGTTTTGAGCTTGTAATAATAATAACTAATAACACTATAGTCTACAAACAGTAAGATGTTTAATATACCTTCAATCGAATTATTATTTTTAAGTTAAGTTACCTTTAATTAAACAAAGATAATTGTTAAATTGTTCTATCACGTCATACTTTTTTTGTTACAGACGATAATTTTTTCATGCTTTCTGTACAAATGCCTCCGATTTAAATTTTATTTAAATTCAAATTATTACTATATGGGTCTAAATAAGTCTTAAAAACATTTCACTCGCATTTGGACTTCTTTTCTAAAAATTTAGGGAGCATAAGTGACAAACAAGACGAGCGTTTTCATCAAGATCCGAAAGGTTTTCAAAGATCGACACGAAGGTTTTTGGGATGAAAATATGTTATTAGATGTTGTTGGATTGTTATAAAGAAATCTGATCCAAAAAGTATAATAAAAACAAGTAAAATAACTCATTTTTAATTTGTTCTTTGGCGGTTTTTGTATTTTTGTTAATTACATACACTATCGGCCAAAAGTAAAGAAACATTTGCAAATATTAAATATTTCATTGTAGGTGTATTTGATTTTAATATAATTTATTACAAGTAATTTGTTGGGTTATTCTTAAATATATTTTACAGAATTTAGTAAGAAATAAACAGTTGTTGTTGAATGAAAAATTTATTTTATTTTTTCAAGGGACAAAAGTGAAGAAACAATAAATTTATAATTACATATAAATGTTACAGTTTAATAATGGGTTGCAAATCCTTTATGTTTAATTACCTCAGCGCATCTTTTCGGCATGGAATCGATTATTTTATTAATATATTCTAAGCTTACGTTTTTCCACGTTATTTTTACGGCTTCGATTAATTCTTGTTTTGAATTGAAACCTCGACTGTTTTCTTCTCTTAATTGACGATCAATATGATCCCAAAGATTCTCAATAGGATTGAGATCGGGACTCTGAGCAGGCCATTGCATTACAGGTATTTGTTCCTTTAAAATCCAATCTTTTACAACTTTGGCTGTATGTTTGGGGTCATTATCGTGTTGAAAAGTCCATCTCAGCGGCATATTATCTTCAGCAAAAGGAAGCATTTCTTCTCTTAAAATACGAAGATAAAGGAATCTATCCATTATTTCATGAATAACGTAGAGTGGTCCTATTCCGTGACCGGAAAAACAACCCCAAAACACAGCGCTGCCACCATCCTATTTCAAAGTCTTTTTTTGTGTATTTAGGATTAAATCTTTCCTGTTTTGGTCGTCTTACCCACTGAATTCCGTCTGAGCTATGCAGATTAAACTTTGATTCATCGGAAAATAACACATTTTTCCATTGAGTAGGTGACCAATTTAAATGCTCTCTAACAAATTCCAATCTGTGCTGTCTATTTTTGGCAGAAATAAACGGTGTATTTGCTGGTTTTCGCCCGTAGAGTTCAAATTCATTCAGTCTTCGTCGAATGGATCTCAGTGATATACCCACATTTGGAATTTGTTGTCTTATTTTTACAGCAGATAAAAATGGATTATTTTGAGAAAGTCTTTTAATTTTTTTATCAGTCACGTTATCCGTTTTACGCGGTCTTCCACTTTTTGGAGCACTTATTAAAGTTTTTCTTTTTTTAAATAAGGCATTTTTTTTGGATATAACACAGTTCAATTGCCTGGCTATGTCAATTTGTTTCTCACCCGCCTCAAATTTGTCTATAATTAGTTTTCTCAAGTCTTGAGACAGTTGTTTACCTTTAGGCATAATTACAACTATTTAAAGAACAATTTTTGTAGGAACTGTTTTGCACCGACGTTGTAATTAACTTTGCAATAGGTAAAATGAAAATGTTTCTTTACTTTTGTCCTTAGCAAAATAGTAAAAACTTCACTGTATGTAAAAACCTTATCCAACTTGACCAAAAAGCTTATAAAAAATTATCTTAAGTAGAAGTAAATCTAGTGCACATAAATCGTTTTCGTTCTCATATTTATATAAAAAATAAATAAAAAATTCAATTGTTTCTTTACTTTTGGCCGGCACTGTATTTCTTAAACGTAACTTTTTTAAATAGTTTTTTTGAACTCAGTGCCTCAAAATCTATAAGAAATTAAATTTCAGTTAAGGTATAAAAATCGTGTAAACTAGTGTAATTTTTTCTCTGCGTTTTAAATCCCATCACATTGGCGTTTTATTTTTTTGGCAACGATGTAGTTTTGACAGATGAGCTAACGCAAGTTAACAAAAATGTTTGTAAAAAAAACATAATTTTAATAAATGGCAAGTCAAAAAAACAGCTTCTTAAAAAAGAGTAATTTTTAACAAAACAATCATTATTCAATTAATTAATTAATCTTCAAAGTAATATCGTTAATGTGATGGGACTTGAAAAGAAAGATTATTATAACAAGTCCAAAAGTAAGAAAAAAATTAACTTTTCTTTCTACTGAGTCAGAATAATGAAGTTTTAATTACAGATTTGCTCGTTTAAGATAAAGCAAAAACAACCCTTACTGTTAAAGTGTTACTTTATCTACTCAAAAGAGTTTTTAAAGAAATAGTTTAACGTCTGCTATAAAAAAAGTGTTTCCTTTTGCTTTTTGGGCGTAAAATCAAAGGTAAAAATTTGTTTCCTTTTGACTGGCTATTATAAGTTCAGAATTTTGATTATAGAAGAAATAACTTGATAGAAATTGGCAAAATTCACAGTTTATTAAAAATTCTGGCATTTAAAACTACTTCTACAATCTTAATTTTTGAATGCTGTAGATAAAGAACCTTAAAAGTTAAGTGAAGCTAAAAATGTTTTTCCTTTGCAGTTTTGGCGGAGAATCAAAAGTAATTTTTTTTTTGCTCATGTAAACTTAATCCGGGAACATACTGTATACTTGCAAAATACATTTCTTAAATACATTTATGTATTTGTAATTTGATAATGTGAGCAAGCTTGTTTATTATAATCACAATTTGATGTATACGTTATAATCTATGCTCATTGAAGTAATTTTCACAAAAAGACATTTTTCGGGTCCGGATCAACTTCCTAAATAAGGGTTTTTCAACATATTACCTGCTCTGCAACTAGTCAGTCTAAAACGCTATTGCGTCAAAGCGCAGCTCGAGTACAAAGTTAGACTGGTGAATAGTTTTTTCTCCGGGTGTACCGTGCAATCAAAAAATAAATAAATTATAGTAGGTGGTGATTAAAGTCCTTCAGATGGCAGTCCTGATTATTGACATCAAATGTCAGCGGAAACTTTGAGAAGTTTGCGTTTTATTCATTTTGAGTGAAATAATGTTCACTTTAGAACATTGTTGCAAATGGTCATTTTCACTTTCAGTTTGTGTGGAAAATTTCCAGGCCAGATTCCCAGCCAATGTGTTGCCAACAGTAGAATCGTCACCTACTCTAATTTATTTATTTTTTTGATCGCACGGTATTAACGAATCTGCTTTAGATCGCCAATCTACACATAGTGGGACGTGACAGTTATGATGAAGTGTTGAATTTCCTAAATCAACTTTTATTTGATTGGGACGCTCGGGAAGATGCAATAAGGTCAGAGATACGTGAAGTACAATGTATGCTTAGTTTTTTGAGAAGTCAAGTAGCCCGCGAAGCCGCTGAAAAGAAGGCACTTCAAGAGGAAGCTGCAGAGTTGGAAGCTAGTATGAAATTTATAGAAACTGAGCTTGCAAACAGGAAGGATGTTACCGAATTTGAACAAACAGTAAACCGAGAAATGATGTCCATTGTAAGTTAGGGATTGCTAATTAGTTCATTTTAAAATCTTAATTTTTAGCCGAACAAAACAAATTTGTTATTCAACAATCTGGGAAATGATCAAGTCATAGAACAATTTGTGAAGCTGGAAAATGAATTTCATTCTGGTGCTTCCTATCAACAACAAATGGTCGATGAGCGCGCTGGCGAATTGTTGGAAACTCTTAAGTCACATTTGGCTGACTACAATAATGTAGGTTTTATTTTTGTTGTTTTTTGAGGTGTTTATTTTCGTTATATTTTCAGCATATCGACGAAACATTCTCCAAGGTTCAAAAAGACGCCGATACTGTTAAAACATCCGTTTTAGAGAAAACCATCAAGGATTGTACCTCTGTTGAAAAAATAATCACTGCCGCTAATGAAGAGAATGCTGACTATTTTTCCAAAACTAAGAATATCATTAAGCAAACGTTAAATAAACTGGAACCGTATGACAAAAAGATTTGCTTCATGGGTCATGTGGGAGATACACCTGTCAAGAACTCCCATACTCGCTTTGATCCCGAAGATATTGAAAATGTTGCTTCTTCATCTAATGGAGATGATCATGATCGCGAAAAAAAATAAGATTTTAAAGTGTTTAATTAATTTATTTTAATTTTTTATTAATAGTTTGTTATGTCAAGAATATTGTTTAGAATACTTTGTTTTTTAATTCAATAAATCAGATTTTAATTCAATAAATTCCAGTTATTTTAAGAGCAAAAATCGATTTGATTTATTTTATTTCCGAAAAAAAGCATCAGTTTATTCCCTGTTGGGAGAAAAATATTGAGATTAATTTTAAAAACTAAAAAAAACGATTCACAATAAAACCCGAATTAATATAGAGGGTCGCTAAAAAGTATGGATACAGCTAAATATTTTCAGAACGGTTTAGCAGAGCATGTCGCAATTTTGAAAACAGTTCACCTATTTTCTGGTTAAAATTCAGGCGGTAAAGAGCTAACGATAGATAAAGACAACATTTATGAGGCTAAAAAAATTACATTTTTCAAAATTTAATTACTTCTATAATGTTCTTTATCGCCAACCGTCAATAAAGCGAAGCATTACCATAGCGATTTTCGGAAGTAAACAATCACTTTATCTTACTGTAAAAATAATAGTTATTTATGTACCAAGTCAGTAAAGTGATTCTTTATCGAACGAGTCTGAGATTATGAGCCGAGTGAGCGAAGCGAGTAACAGACGAGTTCGATAAAGACACTTTACTGACGTGGTGCATACAAAATTTTATCGCCAACCACAAACTTTTATGATTAAAAAAAAATTAGATATTATCATTTATTATTGTCAACGTCATTTTTTGCTAAAAGGGTTGCTTTCACCATAGAATAATACGACCAGTCTTTTACTCTTTCGATAAATCGGAAAAATATGCCATTAAAACGTTTTCGTTATAATTTTTATTTCCGAGTTTTTGGCACCACTCTATGAATATGTCATATCGGCGATTGTATTTTTCGACTGATTTTTCTGGTAGAATTTCGAAAGACGTCTCTAACGACTTCTTCTGATTTCAGGCAGCGTGCACTGAATGTCTTCTTCCATTATTTTCGATAAATAATTCGCGACCAAACTCTTACAGTTGGAACCGTGACAGTGACAAACCGATTTCTGTTTAATTTCAAAAAGTCATGGATATGTTGAAAAATATTAGCGCCAGGTAATAAATTTTGTATGCACCACGTCAGTAAAGTGTCTTTATCGAACTCGTCTGTTACTCGCCTCGCTCGCTTCGCTCACTCGGCTCATAATCTCAGACTCGTTCGATAAAGAATCACTTTACTGACTTGGTACATAAATAACTATTTAACTAAGGTTTGCATGCATTACATCACAGAACTCAAAAAGAAATGCTCTTCTTAAAAATATTAAATTTGACTCTTTACATAAAAAAAATCAAGTTAGTCTTGTATCCCCAGAACGAAAGAAGAAAGAAGTTTAATAAACATCTGAGGCGATGGAATTTAACTGTTTAGCGACTCTGTATAAACCTCGTGCCATTTCAATCGCTTCATTACCAACGTCGCAACTGAATTTTTAAGGTCCAAAACATTTGATATGTTTGTAAAAGAAAAATATTTGTAACACCTGGACCCTACTCACAAATTTAGAGGCAAAATACTTCACTGTTTCATACAGAAATTACGAAATGTGATTGAAGTGGCACGATGTATACTTCGGACACAAGCAACGTTGCAACTCTATTTTTTGAGGTGAAATAGCTCACAAATGAAAAATGACCAAGTGGCAATAGAAAAACTCCCGAGATAAACATATTATTTATAATTTTTTGGAGAATACTGGTAATAGAAATACGCAATCATACAAGTTAAGTTGCATTACTATGTGATTTAGATTTACCAAAAATTCATTTTAATGACCCAAAATCAATAAATAATAGAAGTAGTATACCCTTCATTGAAATTATTGTTAATTATATTTATTTATTTTTTTGTTTGAAATTTGTATGAACCTGTACTCTTTGCAGTGTGAATCCTTTATAGGTAGGTATGTAAAAGATGAAATACTCTGCTGACTATCTAAAATTTATTCAAAGGAAAAACGCATTCACAGAACGAAAGATTAAGCCGCTGACGTCACAACTTTTTTAAACTTCATCGGCAATCCGACTTTTGAGGCGAGCACAAAACTCTTCGGTTCAAATTCGAGAGGAACTGGCGTATCAGAAGATTTTTCAATCTCAAACTCGGACAAAATATGAATAAGACCCAACTTTGTACTTATCAGCCCAAAACGTTCACCTAAAACCAATTGTATTCATTTTAATCAGTTACCTTATGAACTAATCGATTACCAATGCAATTTCTTGGACCCTCGCCAAACGGAATGTAGCTAAACGGAGTTATATTCTGCACGTTGGCATCCGAGAATCGTTCAGGGTCGTATTTTTGAGGGTTTGGAAAATATTTTTCATCATAATGGAGCCCAAACAGTGGGATAAAAACTGGGGTCCCCTTATCTATCACAACGTTAGAGTTGGGGATTTTGTAGTCTTCTTTACAGGTGCGGTCCAGGAAGGGCAAAACTGGGTATTTGCGAAGTGTTTCTGCGAAATAAGAAAATGACAAGGAATTATGGTTATAAACTAGTATTTTTTGTACCACAAACACACATATTGAGATATTTCATGCTTTGAAGAGCCTCGTATGTAAGACCACCGTGTTCTTTACGACAAGTGTCAATTTCGGCTCTCACCCTGCGTTGTATCTGTGGTTGAAGACAAAGCTCGTATAAAGTGAATGCCATAGTAGAGCTTGTAGTTTCAAATCCGGCAACGAAGAATTGAGCTGCTTGAGCCACCACTTTATCACCCTCTAAAACGACATTATATTTTTTTTGCACAATTTACACATTACGTACCAAAATTCATATTTTTGGAAAATTCTTCGTTGGCTTTTAAGGCAATAATAGCATCAATCAGGTCGTTAGCTTTCACATTTTTTTCTTCTCGTAACTTAATCGTATGCCAGAAGGTTTCGCGAAGAAAGTCGCTACTTTCCTTCTCTATCATTCTAAATTTTAAAAAATTCACAAGTCCTGGTAGAAAGAAATACGAAGTTTGTTGTATTGCCGTCTTCCACCGAAAGTCAAAAATCCTTCGACCGATTTTGCGAAACTCTGCATCTTCATTTTTGAACGAATTCGCGTTAATCCCAAAGGCACATTTTGCAATAACATCAGTCGCATATTTCGCACATATTTCCTTGGCTTCGAGGGAGAAATTGGGTATTTTTTGGACGACATATTTCGTCATAGTCTCTCCCACTTCATTAATCAACGGAATCATCGCTTTCAGTTTTCCGGTGGTGAAAACCGGGGTCATTTTTACTCTAACAGTTTTCCATTCGGGGTTTTTGTTAAGGAAAAGCATGTTTTTGACCAGGGGGTCATGATGGGGTGATGCTACGCACCTGTCATCAAAATTGTTAAAATCGCGGACTAAAATTGTTTTAACAAGTTCGGGACTTCGGATAATCAAGTGAGGTTTATCGAAAACGAAGATTCCAAAGAACGGTTCAGTTGTTTGTTTATATAAATTCATCAGATGTTCAGCTATAGTTGTGCGAAAGAGGGAAATGTCGAGGAAGTTGCCGAAGAAAGGGGTCGGTTGGAAGTAAAAAACATTTTTCTTCTCCCAGTGGTTAAAATTCCGGGAGAAATATTTATATAAAAGCAGTGCTAGCACCGAAAGTAGGATTATAGTATCAATTGGCAAATAGGGTGTCAATAACATATTGTAGCGCAACTAAAAAATAATAATAAAACGGACAAAATAAATGTGGTTTTTCGACTTACTGATTTAATAGTTGTGCAACAAAAATTGTCCTTTAAACATGTTTATAAACTGATGAAAACATTGAAGAATTTCGTTTATATACTGCATGATTTGAAAAATTTTGTTTCCTTCGTTGGTTATTATAAATACAAATCTTTGCAATGGGTTGTTTTAAAATAATATAAATGGGTTCTCAGACAAATTTAACAATCGTATCGTTAAAAACTTTTCCTAATTCTCCAATCACGTGCCATATAGTAGACAATAATATTTTATTTTTTTTGCCAAGGTGAACCGGCTTATAGTTGCGTGTGATGATAATATATTATCTTGTTTATTTTTAATTGTACTTATCGTCTGCGTCAAAAAATTGTATCATTCGCAACTGAGTTGTTTTATAAACAAAAGAAGTCAAGCAGAAGTCGTGTGTTGTACCATTTTTTTTTGTTTTTTTTTGCCCACTGTGGAAATAAATTTTATTGACTACGCTTTGCAAGAGATGGGCGTACCAAAAAAATATTTACAGATTAAAGGTTTAATAATGAATACTAATTACTTGTAATTTAGTTTACTTTTTATAAAATTGCCTATATAATTTGAGTAACAAAGGAATCGTGGGGCTTGTTGAAAGTTTGTGGGTACTTTGCAATGAAAACCAGTAATTGGGTTTGATTTTTTTAACATAACTACCAACAAGACAAAGCAAGTAGGGTATTAATTTTACAATGTTTAAAAGCACTGGTATTTTACTAGAACAAAATTTCTCGCAAAACGTGGCTTTTTATCATTTATTTAGTGTAAAATATTATGGGCAATAATGATTAATTATTTGATAATAATAAACAACATTTCAATTAATCAATTAATTTGCTGACAATTGAACTGCTTGTAAATAACGATGATTTTAATAAAATATCATCATGACAAGAATTCTTCACTATCTTCTGGCCAAGTCATTGCTAAAAGAACAAAGTTCGATCAAAATCTGCAAAATTTAAATTTTATGTAACACTGCGGTGACGTAATTGTGAAGATTGTAGTTTCATTTATTTATTCGTTATCGGACAACATAATATTTGCAATTCTACTTTACAGTTTCTAAAAATCTGAAAATAGTTCTTGATTTGAATTTACATAATTGTAAATGTAAGTTTGACTTAAAAAATTAATAACGCTTTCCACCTTAGAGATACGCAAGAATATACTCTTTTATGAGTCCCGAAGGTTCAGTTTTAAATTAAAATCGTCATATTAATTTTTTGCATAGATACATATTTTCTAGAAATAAAGTATTGTTTTGAAATTTTAAAATACTGCATTTTTTCCAAGTGTAAACGCAAGTATGTTGACAAAGGTATAATAAAAGTCAACTAAATTATCACACATTTCTTTATTTAATCAACCAACTTTTTAAACTTGAGTACAAGATCAGAAACCGGTGCCATTAAAAACCCTCTAGGATCGATTTGAATCGGATGTTGGGTTTTCTCACACAAATCCACTTCGAACATCGATATTATTTTAGCAACTCCTGATTTTGAACTCACACTACCAAACCGTGCACCTGCAATAATAAATTAATAATTACCAATAAAGTCATCAAAAAAAATACCAATGCAGTTTCGAGGACCTTCACCAAAGGGCAAATATGTAAACTGCGGTCTTGATTTAATATTTTCTTCAGTGAATCTCAAAGGATTATATTTGTCCGGATCTGGAAAATATTGTGGATCGTAATGTAGTCCTGAAACTGATATAAACACAGGTGATCCCTTTTCGAGGACTACCTTTGTTCCCGGGATTTGATAATCGGTGTTACATCGTCTGTCCAAAAATGGCAAAACGGGATATTTTCTTAATGTTTCTAAAAAAAAAATAGCTTTAACAAAAAAACTACAAATTGGGTTATATTTACCTTTAATACACATGTCTAAAAACTCCATATCTTTAAACGAATTATAAGAAATTTCTCCATGTTTGCTTAATACGTCCTTAATTTCCTTTCTTAATTTACTTTGTAAATTTTTATTGATCGCTAATTCGTACAAAGTGAAACAAATTGTCGAACTTGTGGTCTCAAAACCTGCCACAAAGAACTGAGTCGCTTGTGCCACCAATTTATCGCCATCTGGAAAAGACAATCAAACTATGCGTTTAAACGTTTCTTAACAATTTTCTTACCCAACTTATAAGGATCGTTAATGTCTTCTTGCTTCTTAATATCGATCAAAATATCTAACAAATCATTCCTGACAAACTTTTTTTCTTCTCGTTCGATCATAGTTTTCCAAAATGCCTCTCTCAGAAACTTCGCAGATGCCGTATCAATAAATTTTAATTTAAAAAACTTTACTAAATTAGGCGCTATAAAATAGCAAGTGGTTGATATCGAGCGCTCCCAAATTGACCAATTCAACACCCTCCTCGACACCTCCCTAAACTCAGCTTTTTCATTTTTAAAGCAATTTGCATTAATTCCAAAAGACGTCGATGTTATCGCATCTGTTGTGTATCTTGCTGCTACTTCTCTCATCTCCAAATTGGAATTTTTGGTCACTTCTTTCTTCATGTGTTCGATCATGTCGTTCCCAGCTTCACTGATGAGAGTATACATAGTTTTCATTTTCCCGGAAGTAAAAACCGGAGTTATTTTCCGGCGCATGTCTCTCCAATCCGGAGTTTTCAGAAGGAAAAGTAAATGTGATCCCATGGGATCATTTTCTTTATTTTCGGAAATACTGCGGTTGCTGAAAACTCCAAAATCTTTCACGAGGACCGATTTTACTAATTCCGGGTCGCGGATCAACAAGTACGGTTCATCACAGATGAAGAAACCGATAAATGGTTTAGTTGTGCTGTTGTAGATTTTTCGAGCCAACTCTCCAATATTTTTTTGCCAAGTGAATACCTCAAAGGCGTTACCGAAAAATGGAATTGGGCCGATTTGAGGAACATTCTTCTTTTTCCAGTGGTTGAATTTGCGAGTAAAGTAAAAATACAGAGATGTCCAAAATGTAATTAATAAGATAAGTAAATTGATAACCCAGGAGTTCGATAATTGCAATTCAAAGCCCATTTTTTGTTTCAGTTACATCTATACAAATATAATTAGTGCTTAACTAGAGATAAGTTTAGTGGTTTTTCGTACCTTCTCAAGTTCAGTTTAGTTTTTTTTTTTGTTACAAAGGTATGTACAACAGCTAAAATACGAGCAAATATGAAAACGATCACCCAAATAACTGACTCGGAAAGCGTGTTGATTTATTATTTATAGTAGGACAAACATATGATTAATTTTTTTGTTGATGTTGTATAATTAACTATCGGATATTAAATATTGACTCTTGATTAGTTTAAAATGGGGGTTTTGTATCCGCAATTCTTTTATTCTCTAATAAATATAAATACTATTCTATTGTTCTATTCTATTAGAAATTGTGTTAAAAAAGTGAATGCAGACGGTTTTACGATTGTTCTTCTGTAAGTTAAATGTATTGAAACGCAATTTTTAATTACAGAGAATTATAGGTCATGCGATAAACATTTTTTGTTTCACTTTTAATAACATGTTTATTTTATCCATCTGTATTTATAACAATTATAACAATTTTGTTGTAATCTGTAGTTGAGGGTATACCCCGATTCAAACCTACAATGGAAATTGTATATTACTTTATTTTTTTTAACACTGTTTTTCTCAGTTTAATGCTTTGTTCACTTTTTGACGACAAAAGTGCAGCTTCAGTGTTGTCATCTCCACTATAATATAGGATTGAAACGAATTTTTTATTTGTGAGCATGAAAAAATCCCTTCAATGCTTTTTACTTTTTGTTGTTTTTTTCAATAAGGAAATAGTATCTCATTTAACTCCGGTAAATCAAATATTACGACTGTAAGAGAAGTAGGTATATCGTAATGTATTTTTCCTACGACTCTAACAGAAAGTAAGTTTTTCCTCCCTAATTTCAGGAAGGAAAATGGCCACCAGGATTACCTACCAGGAAGGTAAAATTTTCCTTCTCGTTTTGTCAAAATAAAAATAAAAATATGTGTAACCTTTCCGGGAGGTAAAAATTTTTACTTTTCCCATAGAAACGGAAAAACATGCTGCTGGATTCAATGGCGAAACTGAGATATTAAGAGACGTTCTTAGTTTTGAAGTTTTTCTTGCTGGATCGTAGGAAAAATTATATGTATTACACTGGAGGAAAGTAACTTTTACTTATAATATAAATAACTATTATTTTATTTTGATTTGATGTTTTATTGTGTCAAAATCACAATAAGAAAAGTTTTACTTACACTTACCGGCTCTGATACCGTAATAGCTCACTTTCGGGGCTCAAAATAATGCCGGGAAGCCTAGTTTAGTTTACCGGACAGTATGAAATAAAAAAATTACCATCTTTGGGCTTCAGTAGACAAGGATACAATAATATCAAATTTCTTTGAGTAAATAAACAAACAAAAAAAATAGATATTAATTAGAGAGTCAGAGATCATAAATTGTGAAATTAAAAAAAACACATAAAATTTTGATTTTAAATTTTAAATGAATTACACTTATTTTCAATACGTGTCTGCACAAGACTACTTTCTTTTAGGTATTAAAAAAATGTTTTGAAATATAGATTTATTGAGCACATATAGGTACTGGAAAACATCATATTTCTAACAATTTTTAAGACTTTTACAGAATTTTCGTTATTTTAGCAAAAAGGAACTCTTCGCTGTCAGTTATTTCATAATTGCTTGTCTAACATGTATTTCACTCTGCGATTAGCAATTTCTCATCAAAGGAATCATCAAATCAAGTAATCCATTTTTTAATAGGTAGTTCTCTATTTTTTGTTTTTTTTTTATAGTTTCTAGCTGCAAATTGAAAATCTATTTCATCGATTTATATGAACCTACTTTGACCGTGAGCCCCTTTTTAATAAAGTGAAGGTAACTTGTTTGTTTGCAAACATTTAAATAAATTACAATCAATCAGTATAGGTATAATTATTTGCACGAACATACTTTTTTTTAGATGACGTTTATAATTTCGACGGAATTTTTAATTTTCCTCGTTGTGCTACTACTTATCTATTACTATTTTACAAGAAATTTCAAGTACTGGGAAACTAAAAATGTGCCCTACATCAAGCCTTTACCATTCTTTGGTAACATTTACAACGGAATTTTAATGCGCCACTCGATGGGGGAAATATTTTACGACATTTATTACAAATCAACCAAGCCTTTCATTGAATTTTTTTTATCGTGGATAAACCCTGTTTACTACTCAGAGAGCCAAAACTAATTAAGAAAATTCTAGTAAACGATTTTCAATATTTCTATGATAGAAACGTGATGAATAATAAAAGAGATGACCCTATTAGCACCCATATTTTATTCATACTGAAAAATCCCGAGTGGAAGGAACTCAGGACTAACATGACGCCAGTTTTGACTTCATCAAATATGAAAATGATGTCAGAATTAATAGAAAATGCCTCACAGGAAATGACAAATTATTTAAAAAACCTTGTCAAGAATAATTCTTCAGTTGAAATGAAAAATATTTGTTTGAAATTCACCGTGACAGATTGGTTCAACTATTTTTGGGGTGCAAGCAAATTCTTTCAGAGTTTTGTTCAGTGGCGAAAAAACTAATTGATTGGGACGATATTGTGACAGCGTTTCGATTCAGGTGTTATTTCTTAGCACCCTTGTTTGTTCATTTGTTTCGAATGAAACTCTTTCGTCCTGATTGTGTCAATTTTTTGAAAGACACTTTTTTGATATTATGTACAAGAGATATTTTTCAAAGAATTGCAGAAATGATTTAATCGATATTTTACTCCATCTGAAGAATGATGATCGCCAGTTTATAGGTATAATTTTGCTCAGTTTATGTCTAAAAATTAAAAAAATAATAATTGTAGATGGAGACATATTGGTGTCTTGCTGGTTTTGAGACCACAAGCTCAACAATGGGATTTACATTATATGAATTTGCACATAACTTAGACATTTAGGAAAAAATAAGAAACGAAATTAAAGATATTTCGGAGAAATATGGCGGTATAAAATATGATGCGTTGAAAGAAATGGAATATTTGGACCTATGTGTTAAGGGTATAAGGGCCTATGTCGTAACTTTTTTCTTTTAAACTTGTTAGTTTAGAAGTTTTACGAAAATATCCAGTTCTACCATTCCTTGAAAGGAAATGTAACACACCCTACACTATACCAGACACCAATATCATTCAATAATGATGTTGACACTCCTATTTTCATCCCAAGTTTAGCTTTGCATTATGATCCCGAATTTTTTCCCAATCCTAATAGGTTTTCAAATAATAACAAAATTCTCGTCGTTGGAAGGAATTTAATTTGAAATTAACTAAGGCTTAAAAAAATGACTTGAAGACACAAATCCAAAGAAATAAAACATATTCTTATTGTATTTTACATTTATTTTATTTCTCATATTTCCTATGTTCAGACATACCTACTCAGGTAGGTAATGTTCTTATAGGACTAAAAATTGCATATTGTAACAAAAAAAATGAGAAAAATCTTGCCTATAATCAGAAAAAATTGAGCAAAATCTCGTCCACAGACACAAAAAATTTTGACAAAAAACCGCTTGGAGTCTTTACTAAAAATTTGTTAAGCATGGGAAGGACTTTATTCTTTTTAATTGATTATTGTCGTAACAAAAAGTAGACAAAAAATAGCTCGGATTCACAAAAAATGGAGCAAAAATCTATCGATTTTTTACTTCATTTTTGGAAAAATTGAACATAGGCCTTTGGCAAAAATTTGTTAAGCGTCAGAAGCTTAGGCTGGCTTTTAATAAAAAAATAGCTTGTGGAGATATAAACTGAAACGCTGTCACAAAAAATTTAGCAAAAAAACACCCATAGCACAAAAAATTAAACAAAAATTGCTTGTGGCATTTGTTATTTTTTTTTAAGCAAACCGTTTAAAGGAACAGAAAAAATCTTGTTTTACTTTAGACATTTAATCAATATCTTTTATTTTACATTGGCATATGGACATATTATAATCTAAGTAAAATATTTTAGTGTTATTCTCTAAATATATCACTTATTCAACTAGCAATAGGAAGAATATAGATTTTCTCTTTAGAAGATAAAAAGGATTTTACAGGCTTCAGTGGTCCTCATATTTTAGAAAAAAAAAAAAATAGAAAACAATAAAAAACAAATAAGATAACCAACAATCTCTGTTAACAACAAATTGTTTTTCAATTTTTAGCACCAGATCGTCACTATCAATTTCCAGCACATTTTTAAAACTATGAGGTAAAGAAAAATAGTAACTAACCACAAACGTATCTGGTACGAAAATATTTTAAAGATTTTCCTAATCCTAGTAAATGCACACATAAAAATAATATTAAACTAAATATCATTTTTATCAGACTAGAATCACATGATTAAAAATTTATAAATATCTTTTACAAACAATATCTTATAAAAAAATGTTACAAAATCTGTTTTATTATAAAACATAATGATTCACTATTGTAATCAATAAATAATATTACAAGAAAAAGAATTGACTGAGAATATACAACTTATATCTAATACGAAATATTGTGCCTTTTAATTTGGATAATCTCATTTGTACCTTTATGATATAACAGTCATGTAAACACATTTCTTGTGCGAAATGTCAAATTCCTTTCTCCCTGTGTGCCATGTTAAAAAAATCGGATAAAATTCCACTTTTGATTATTATTAATTATTCTATTGAAGGGATATGTCCGGAGATACAATGCACTAGACGCGTACACAGTTATTCTAATAAAAATCGAACGAAAAAATAAATATAAATAAATAAACAGAACGAAAACATCCTACACATTATTTCTTACATTTGGTTTATATTTACAACACCGACAGAAAATGTATCTAGCAAAACTCTCCCTTTCGGGGGGATTAATCTCTTGTCAAATTAATCCGCCCTCTTTACCCTTTTCAACTAGAAGTATTTCCCCTTTTTTCTCCGTCGCCTCCACCGGTGTCTCCACTTTGAATTCCTTCAAACTTACAATTTCCAACTTTTCAAATTGCGTTTTAGGACTTGCGCAATTACTTTGCAGTTGTGAGGTAGACGGTAAAGATTGATTGTCGGTTTCGGTGGAGACCACAGCTAGCTTATCCACTGCGGCGTCCGACGCCCACCCCTCCAACTTGTCCTTCTCCTTGCCCAACACCAGAAACTTCCACGCTTTCTTGTTCTTGGTCTTGGGAAGGGTGCTCGCTCTGCCGACCTCCTCCAAGCTGCGGCAACAGGGCGTCTCTAACTTCTTCTTCTTGTGGGGAAAGGGGTTGCGGGTGCTGTTGTTGTTTTTCGAGTGCTTCACTTTCGAGTCTTTGTCCACCGAGAGACCGAACCGGTCGGTAAACTGCCGGAAACGTGTGAAAATCGAGCGACTGTTTTTGGGACTCCCACTTGCTTGCACTTTTTTCACTTCGTCCTTATCAGAGGAAATACTGTTAACGTTATCACTGGTATTGTTCACTCGCGATTGAATACTATTCTTCCGGTTGTTGACAATCAATTTCTCCTCATCGTCTTCCAAGGAAGACTTCACATTGTTCATCCGAAGTTTGTCCGCGTTCGTGAAAGATTTATTGTCAGAACACTTTAGAATACTTTTTTTCTCCTCCAAATTGGAAGGAATCTTCACCAGATGCTCCGAATTCCTCTTGTTCAAATTAAGAGTCTCCTTCGAAACCACGCATTCATCTTCTTTGCGCAACTTCTCTTCTTCGCTATCCGATTGGTCATCTAGTCGTTTCTTCAGAGTTAAAGCGTACTCGTCCAAGAACTCCGGAGTGTCGAATGATAATTTTTTGTTGCCCACCATGCAGTGTTGGTCGAAACTGAATCCGGCTGACCGGAGTTTACCCTTTTGGATCATACGGGCGAGTTCGGAGCTGTTGAAGTGTTGGACTCGTTCCCGACTACCTTTTCTGGATCCGGGGTAGCTTTTTCGACCGGTGCCGACGCTGCTTTCGGTCGATATTTTGAATTTTAGGGCCTTTTCCGAAACTTCGACTTCGGTGGCAGTTTCGGATTCGCCGCTTTCAGGGTCTTCAACGACGTCTTCGAGACTTTGCTCCTCGCCGATCATATTGCCGCTGCCGAAGCTCTGTTCAGTGTCTTCGTCGGTGGACCTTGATCTGGGGGTAAAACAAAACAACTTTTAAAACTGATGTATTTTCTCTTTTTCATCAAAAAATTGTCTATTTTATGTCTTTGCCATAAAACTTAACACAGCTGTTTATATTTTTCCACGAAATTATGTAGGGAAGATATTTGAGAGTGTAATCAGTCTCTTGTCAATATTTACACTTTCACTCGAACAAATTGTAAAATTTCGCGTAGAGAGCACACCTGCACAACTTGTGATCAATACAAATCTCTTATTTGAAAAATTCGTAAGAAATTGAAATAAATTCTAAAACAATTATTATATCCATTATTCAAAAAAACAGATATTTTTTCCTCTTTTTTTCAGGTATTTTTATGTTTTTAATTGGAAATTTGTAGAATGATAATTTTTAATTCATTTTAAGAAAAATAAAAAAATGCTTTTGTTCATTATGATTTAAATAAATGTCAAGTATAAACTAAAACTACTCCTCTTTGTATTCATTTAATGAAGTTGTCTTCTCGTTTGATACGTAATTTGTAAAAATTGAAGACTAAATCCGCAAAAACTGTATTTTAGGTACTACATACTTTTAACACAAATATTACATGTTAAAAATAAAATTATTCAACTAATAAAATGTTAAATGTTTGTTACAAATAGGTACAACCTAAAATACAATTTTTGCGGATCTAGTCAGATCAGTCCGCAAAAACGTTTTAGGTACATGTTACAAACAACATTTTTTTGTTAAAGCCCCCAAAAAACGAATTCACAGCTTTTAGGGCTAGTTTCATAATCGAACTATAAAGAGACTTTAAAGTTAAAGTTGGTTTAGAATGTGCTGATTACTACGGATATTTTAACAAAATTTCACATTCTAAAGTGACTTTACTTTAAAGTCTCTTTAATTTGATTATGAAACTGGCCCTTAGTAATTAGAAGTAAAAAAAATCACCACCATAGTAACCAAACTGACTTTTTTGTCCAGAAAAACTGTTTTGGGGACTGAGTACCTAAAATAACAATTTTGCGTACTTTTTTATAAGAAAAAGACTCATTTTAGGGACTCAAATGAGTATACCTAAAACATTTATTTTCGAAACATATACAAAAAAACTTAAACTTAGAACATACAATATATTTATTTTCTTAAACACACGTTGCACTTTAAATTGGTTAATTCAATAATTTAATTTAATTACTAATCAGAAAAGTAGTTATTTAAACAAATTAAGTGACAACAAGTTACACTAATTTACAAATAATAACTTGTTTAATAAACCTTTAATAAAATTATTATTTTTATGTTTATTTACTTTTAAACAAGCAAAAATAACAGGTAATTTTTTCTTATCACGTCACAGTTTTGTGTGACGAACAATAATTTTCTGCACGAATGCTGAATTGTTACAAAATTATCACCAGATGGGTTTTAAATGGGTCTTGATTAACTTGCATTTCGACTTCCTTTCTAAAAACTTAGGCAACATAAGTGACGAACAAGGCGAGGCAACCTGAAGGTTTTCGAAGATCGACACAAAAGATTTTTGGGATGAAAATATGTTAGGGGATTACTGTTGACTGTTATAAGGGAAACTGATCCAAAAAAGTATTAAAAAAAACAGAGTTTTTAACAAATTTTTAATTTATAGTTTAGCGATTTTTCTATTTAAATTACATATTTCTTAACGTGACGTGGTTCAAAAAATTGAATTCAGTGCCTCAAAATCTATAAGATATTATAACTTATTTCAGCTAAGGTATAAAAATCGTATAAACTAGTGGCATTATTGAAGTTTTATAATATCTTGATTAAAAACAAACCACCTACCATAAGTTTAAACCCATTTCTTTGTTGTATCAATCTGAATTTATTTATTTTAGTTTTACGAGTACCTTTGTTTGATTTTATTGAAATATCTCTTGAAAACCACTTTTGAATGTTCCACTGTAAATTTAATCTTTAAAATACATATTATTTATTGTATGTCAAATAAACATCTTTAATATTTAAATAAATAACTTTTCATACCATTATATTGAAATTTTCTTTGTGCTTGATTATTTTATTGATTGATTCGTTATTTAATTTTTTATCTTTTTCATTCCATAGTTAAAAATTAAAGGAAATTGTCAGTTGCAATATTTGGTACGAATATAACTTCGTTTTAATGAAACCGTTTTATTAAAAGAACTACAAAAATCCCGTAATTCAATTTTAGTCCAATTATTACATTCAGGCTGCATGAATATGCACAAGCTACAATAAAGCAAGATTACTGTTTTAATGCGAATCGAAAAGTAAAAAATGTTAAAAAACTGTTACTTGTTATTTTTTTCCAAAAGGACATTTTTAACTTTTTTAATGTGGATTCTTTATTGTTGTAATGGGTTATAATTTATTAAATGATACTTTGTTTTGTAAATGTGTATTAGCAAATCGCTAATATTGTACGTGAGGAAGGTGCGAAATATGTAACATCTGGTTTCAGGCTAAATAATAGTTGGTCGTAGTTTACCAACCACATATAGCGAATAGCGTATCAACTGACGAATAATGAATTTATGGCACCATATACTGTTCCATTTGTCTTCGTGTTTATGGTGCAATGCGGCACCATGTAGGCTTTATTACCACACTTGGTCAAACATGAAATTACTACTTTGCGAAAACTTTGGAATTAGACAAGGTTAAACGTGGCAAATTTTTGCGTTTCTAAATAAAAGTCTTACCTCGACCTGTTTTGTTGGAAGCTGAGACTCTTTTTTAGCTTAACACTGGCATTCGAAAACGATTTGGGAACAGTAACGGCACTATCGGGGCTTTGCGTGGATGGCGTGTGCTGGTCCGTCAATTCAGATACTATACTTTTCCTGTGAAGTCTCTCCTCTCTCGTAGCTTCATTTAATCTTCTATAATATTCTAGTGCTTCCCTAACCGGTTGAACAATGAGATCCTGAAACAATCCAACTTTAAAACTCCCCAAAAATGAACTGGAGGAAAAGCTAACTTGTAACTCAGTAAGTAAGTCTCCCAACGCCTCGAACAAAGGGAGAAGAACGAAGCCGATAAATGAACATTGAGACGAGGGTTTCGTTATTTTCTCCCTGTCCATGAACGGGGTGACAGGTAACCCTTCGAGTTTCTCGGCGTCGCTTTGTTTGAAGAATTCTTGCAGGAGTCTATCAAGCCACGGTTCCGCCACGTCCATCGGCCGCGCTTCGTTCGATATATCCGACACTTTGATAAGGACCATACAAAGCTGAAACACCATTATCAATACAAGGTTGACTCACACCATGGACGGCTCGTGCAGAAAAAATAATTCTAAAATTATCAATTCTACATAAATAAAGAATAAAAAACTGTCGACTTCGGAGTCCTCTCAGTACTCGAAACGTCGAAAAATAATCGCATGCGACAGACAAAAGTCGACCAAATATCAGCCAATTTTACTAATCTGATATTACAAGAGTAATTATGAAATTATGAAATAATTTTATAAATTTAGAATTTGTGTTAACTGTATTAAAAAAATGTTTAAATTTTACAGTGTTTTATTAGGAGGAAAGATTTTTGTGTCTGAAGAATGTTTCTCAAAAATTAACGAAAAATCGCATCTTAGTGAAAATTTTTGTCGAAATAGTTTCGTTTTTTGTTTATTTGGGAATTCATTAACTCTGAACCAAAGTCTGGTAGACCCCTTAAAGCAAAAAATCAGACAATAGTAAAGTTTTACTGACTATAGGTCGAAAAAAAATTTTACGTAGTACCTGTGATATTTATGAAAATTCAGCCAATGAACAAGTTCTAAAATGCATGATCGAGAACAGAATTTCAGAACAGCAGGTCTGTATTTGGGTTAAACATACTAAAACTTCTCGGTTCTCAGCTGTGAGGGAGACGCAGGGGGGTACGAAGAAGATACCGTTTTATGCTTTTTAATTTAGGTTTATCTCAAATAGTCTTCAAAATATTTGCTTCAAAATATCGCACTATTTGCAAAATAGACTAAAAAAGTCATTTAATGAATTAACGTAAAGGTTGTAAGAATTGTGATTGGGCCGGCCATTAAAATAATGTTAGAAACCAATCACCATAGATTTTTAGAATTCATTCAAAATTTATTCCAGTGATGTGATTGGTCCGTTTGAGGTCGGCCATTATTATAATTTGAGTAACCATGGAGAAGCCAATCAGTTTTGATTTTTGGATTCATTCAAAAATGTTACGAAACGTAAGGACGTTTCCCTGTTCCTGCTGAATGGGAAAAAAACCTTAAGCAGAAATAGTGATATTAATGTTTGTTTCACCCACATCTTGTGTGCTCACAAACACAACATAAATTGAGAGCGAGAATACAGAAGTGAAAATTTTCTTCGAATCTGAACATTTTCATGAAAGAACACGATCCAACAAGCGAAACATTACTAAAAGACTGATGTTTTCTACAAGCTGCAGAGACCTACACTACAATTTGAAATTTACAACAACCAACCAACCGTGAAAATCATCGATTGGTTTAACAGTTTCCTTTTTGTCCACTTTTAATGTTTAGACACTATAACTTCTTATTGGATCCTCTTGGTATAGAAACGATGAACAAAAACACGATTAAACCCGTCACATAGGCACTATGAGACAAAGTGCGCTATTTGCTTTGAATATTTCGCAAACTATTTGAGATACCAAAAATCCGAGAAGACCGTCGTAGAAAATTTTATAAGCTTTTGTGCATAACCATTTGTCTCGTAATACGTGGCGTTTTCGGAATATAAACGAAAAAGCGTAAAACGGCACCTTCTTGATGCGTCATTTGAAATTTTCTTGAGGGGGGGACAATAAGTTAATTGATTAGCTAGATAATAATTTTAACAGATGTGTTAGATGGGATACTTTTAATCAGAGGGGGGGGATTGCCTCACCGTAATTACGCCCCAGGACCGAGGACTTTAAAATGTTTACCTACTAACTAATTGACAACCCTGAAATCAAAAATTCTGTTCCCACTATGAATTGTACAACTCCTTTTTGAAAGTTCATTGACTTTAGAGGGAATCTTAAGAAAACTGCTATTCGAGTAAAAAGATTTCTTTAAAAAAATTAATAAATACCACTGTACTACGATTCTTCGTTATTTCATAAATATTGGAATAAAATAAATTTGGTCAAGGAACAAATATGCAAAATTTTATTGCTCTGTCTTTTTTATAGCTCATTATACAAAAATGCTCCCTTGTCCGAATAAAATTCTCGCATTGACTTTTCTGCAATCAAAGCACGAGCCGCCACTGTGCTCCCTTCAACTTACTAGATTAACGTGAGCTTTGTCGTTATAGTCAAAATTTGGCGTAATCTCCCTGAAGTTGGTGAGGATTTCGTTATGTCGAGCCATATCAGTGGCTAATATGCACCTAATGATGCCCTCGCGAACTGTTTTGAAATCCTCGCTTTTGAAAGACTTAAATATGTTGCAGTCTTCGTTTTCGAGTATCCTGAATGCCACGCTACAGTGGTGATTCTCTAACGGCGATATGTCGTTATAACGGATCGCTAGTTCGGTCTTTGCATTGATTTGGTAAATGTTATTGTAACCGGGATGGTCCAAATCGTGGCAGATGCAGGATGTTAGCAAAATCAAAACTTCCAAATCGCCGATTTTAGAGGGCAAATCCACACTCCAAGATATGGCGTACATCTGGAAAGGAGTTTTTCGTCAAGAATTAATAACTGAAACTAATGACTTTTTTCAAATTTAAATAGAAAATGTTTGCTAAGAGAACAATTATTATGTTTTGAAAAACTCCCGGTAATAATGGCTTTAATCCCGAACGGAAACCATAACGAATTTAATGCAAAGCCACTAAAAAAAGAATCGGTTGCGACTTACCATTTGTGCGACGCAAAAACAATGTCTGAAATTGTGAAAGGGCACGTCGTTATAATTCTTGTAGGCTTCGTAGAGGAAATTTCTAAGCGTATTTATGTCTATAGCAAATTTTGAACAGAGATCATAATCGAGATACATTTGTTGAAGCAGGAGGAGCAATTCTTCGTCTTCCCAGGGCCTAGCGTCGAACGTCGGTGTTCTCAACCACTGTCGAATCGCATCCGAAACTTGAGCTTCACTGAATTTCTCACAATTAAAAACATCAAATTCCGGTGTCGGTCATCTCTTACCAAATGTTCGTGAAGTTTTGCTTCACTCTTTTTTTCACCGAGTCGCTTTTTCGCCGGTACTGGAGACGGCGGCACTCTTCACTTGAGACGGGTTCCGGAAGCTGCTTGTAGAATCCTAAAATATTACAAATCGAAAAAAAGTCACCAAAACGTATGATGTTTTCATAAAGACGCTCTTCAAAAAAAAAAAAAAAAACAGGCAGAACAAGGCAGAAAAAGCTGAGCCGAGAAAATAAATTAATGGTCTAACTGCTCGTCTCTTTTGTAAAATAAAGCTGCTTTGCCTGGCTGTTTTAGAATTAAATTGACGGCTTAAGGTTGTGTAGGCTTGTCGGGACAATATTTCGAAACGCGGCCAACTTTTAATGAAGAATTCCGAAAGTATTTAAACTATTTAGCCAAGAGAACGCTCTGGGAAACTGTTGTTAAAAAAGTAACAAAAACTCGGTGAAGTTGGGAAGTCTTTAGAGGAGTATGAATGCCAGAATTTTGTAGTGACAATAATAAAATTGATTGTTTATGGAAAATAACTCAAAAGGGACATAGCTACGACACAGAAATTCAAGTGAAAGTATTAAATTTCTTTTATTTCTCATTATTTTTTTTACATTTATTCGAAATATTAAGAAATGATTCAAGTTTATGGAAAAATGTTTATTAATCAATGGTATGAGCCTTTCTAGTTCGTATATTACCTATTGCATTACCTCCGATCGTGAACCTCAAGAATTTTAAATTATTCTTATTGAAGGGCTGCTCAAAGTTATTGGCTCAAATTTACTTATTTTTTGAACGACATTCAAATTTTTGTCACTTTTCGAATAGAGAAACTCAAGAGATTTGCATTAAGTAAATTCGAGAAGCAAGCGTGTTTTTGCAATCATTCCTGGTTGATATTATAGAATTGAGATGATATCAAGACTTGTTAGAAAAAAGTTATCTTTAAGTCTTCTACAAAAAAATTGCTGCTTGTCTAATTAACAATCCCCTTGCACATACATATACTAGGTACGTACTAATAAAACGTACTAATATTAAAAAAGAAACTCTTTTCATTTCATTTATAAGCATTTCAATTAGCAAATCCGTTAAAAATCCTTATGATTTATACTTATCAAATTTTCTTCCTTATTTATGCTAATTAGGTATTATACAGTTTTCTTTTTAAAATGTTTTAAACTCGTAGTTTGTTTGTCCAAATTTCGGAATCTGCAGTAATAAATACTATGAACTTAATATTTACACAACTCCATTTGAATTGTGAAACCAATTACGAGTGCATTTTAATAAGACTTCAGCTTGGTAAACTGTAATTTCGTCCTTTCTTATTCTTCCAAATTTATAAAAAATAAATGGGCATTGGAGCCTGCAAGAATTTCACGGAAAGTAAACTGACACATTTTCCCCATTTATCGCGAAGTAAATGCGAAGTGGAGTTAGGAAAAGTTTCAGTCATGAGCCTCTAGAGACAACAGCAGGTACTCCCAAATTGTGTTCTTTGTGTTATTTTTAAACCGGAACTTTTAATGAGTCAAATATTTGCAAGTAATTGTTACCTTTCTTTTCATCATGTTCGAATCTTAGTAAATAGCAAATAGTCATTTAGAAAATTGAATTCGATGTAGTAGTTTGTGTACTGATCTCGGAATTTCTCGTGAAGATTTTATTCTTATATGAAATTCTTCCGGACCGGATCCGGCGTCGTGGCGTTGATAATCCATCGCCAGACAAATATTTGTTTTTTGGATCGACATCAGATCGTTGCCGGTATTCAAAGTACCCGATGAAATTATAGACTCTGGGACTTTTTATACCGTGAAATGCGTCAAATCGTCTCTATAAATACGTAAGTCAATATTTACACGACCGGTTGAGCGAAGTCGTCTGAATTATGGGAATGTTTAAAGGAGTTGCGGTGCAGGACCGGGTCGCAGACTCTCCCCTCTATATTTTTCCATCCTTCGATAAATTTTACTTATGTTTGAGAAGGCAAATATGCGCCCTCGGGAGCTTGTCTGTGCAAATGTTTGTTCAGGAAGGATAGTCCGAACACCAAATTACCGGAAGGGGTAGCTACACCTTAAGCCGGCTCTGTGTTTGTTCCTTTGGGTGTGTTATTTCCAATGTTGCTAAATTAATAGCGACATCGAGATCAAAGAGAACCAAATTAATTAGAGCGACACCCCGGGCGGCGAATGCGACTTTTTAATGCTCACAAACTAAAATTCCGCGGATAAAACTTGAAACTTTAATTGAACTTATGCAAAATATTTTACCGAGCCAGCTCAGACTCTCCGTAGTCTCGAGTTTTTCCCGGAATTCCTCCACTTGTCTCTGGAGTTCTTCGACGGCAGGAGGCAGCGGCAGTTCGGATCGTAGCTGTCTTTCTATGGCGGATACTCGAGCTTCCAGAGCTTTTAGACTGCTTCCGGTTGATTCCTGAAGCATAGCGAAGCCGTTGGCGGCCACCACTTGCAGAGAGTACCTGCTGTCAGGTGTGTTGGGAGGTAAATCTCCACTGATGTTCAACAACTGACCGGAGGTGTTGTACAGTTTCAGAATGTCCCGGGGACCAGCCTCGGAGGCAGATCTGAACAAATCTGAAAACAACCAACAACTCATTTATTTTATTAAAATTAATAGAAAAGTTTGCATTTTCTCGCTTTTGGGAGTAATGAGCGTAACGCACGGACACCAAATCCGCAAAATTCGTGCTGCAAATTTTCACTTTATGAAATATGTTATTTATTCAAAGCTGCAGAAAGTTGCGAGCACTAATGCACTATTTCATAAAGCAACTTCCATTATTTCTAAGTTGGTGCGGCTTTAGAATTCGAGGTTTACCCCTGCAACAGTTGTTTCAGCAGCACTTTAAATTAATGCAAACAAAAAAAAAACGTTTTTAAATCCGTGACTGTTAAATAAAAGGAAAAACTGATTGAATGCTCCGGTTGAAAAGAATTTAGACATAGGAAAGAGGTGCTTTTGAAACCCATGTTTACACATTTTTTTTCAAATTTAAATACAGACTTTTTGAAGACACACACGTTAATTTTTTTTTAATATTTCAATATTTTTTGCGGCACGTTTTTCAAAATATGAAGGAATGGATGTTATCAGAAAAAATATGTATACAGTGTACAGGGTGCTGCATTTTGGATGTCCGAATAGGGAATCTCCGAAACTAAGAGGTTTAGCCAAAAACGAGTAATACATTCTGGGGCTCAATTTTTGAGGAAATAATATTAGTTAAAACCGCATCTCGCTATCGTCTTTTGTTTTCGACTTATAGACAAAAATTGACATTTTAGCGAAATCTAAAAAAATTCATATCTTCGTTATTATAGAAGACACAGATTTGAAATAAAGATATTATACAGGCACTTTTTTACGTAGAATTTAATAATGTAGTTAACAATTTTTTTCAGTTGTTTGTTTAGTCGTAATAAAATAAACTTGTATTTTTTTAATGGGAATCATAGATGGCTATGTCATTTTTAAAAAGCTTGTTTTTTTCTTATCTAAAAAATATATATTTGTAACAAATTATTATAATACATTTTTAGCAAAAAATTATCTTTGATTTTTGTTCGCAGTTGGCCATTAAAAAATGTTGCATCTTCAACTAAAAGGATTTAAACTATATTATATTCAACCAGTGTCACTAATGAAAGAGTTTTCTAAGTACTAAGTGATGAAAAAGATGCAAAATAAATTGTAAATCAACTTATTGGCGACTAGTAACATTTCTTTGTTGTTAAACAAGCTAACATTACCATTGCAACTTCTAGTGATACATAGAGTATTGTAGAAAAAAGCCGCTTTAATTCATCAATAAAATATATTTTATATAACACAAAAATGACGATATGGCTATTCAAATACCCAAATTCCGTCTATGTGAAACGTTATCCTACCTCCATTAGATCATCAAAAAAATGTTTTTTGTAATTGTGTTGACTGTTGACACATTTGTTTTTCCTATTTTTTGGTTTTTTAAAAATATGTAATAATTTTGTTCTGAGGCGCTCGAATATTTGTTCAATGCTTCTACCGTATCGTATTTTTAAAATCTTTATAATTTTATCTGTTTTTTCATATACAGGGTGATTCTTAAACAGACCGACAAAATTTTATCACAGCTTGCTAAGAATGAATGGAGACAAACGGTACCCCTTTATACGTTTATACCTATTAAGGGCAAAACCCCCTTCATCCGTGCCACTTACGGCGTTTATGAATTGTTGCAATAATCAAGTACATTTTCATCACGTTACTACCATGGTTTCCACTACCTGTGCTAACACATCAGTGGCGTACGCTTTACTTCGAAAATAACTTTAATAAATTTTATTTGGAGAACGTTTAAACAAAGAATTTTTTAAATATTTTTTCCCGCATGTTCTCATTTGATACTACCAAGGATAAAATTTTGTCGGTCTATTTAAGAATCACCCTGTATTTTACAGTTCACGAAACTCTTATTGATTATTATTTACACATTTGGAGTGAAATAGGTTTTCCATGGCCAACTATTATTACATTTCACTTTTTAAGTATAGTTATAAAAAAATATTTTGTTTCAAATATATATTTTTTAGATCAGAAAAAAATAAGCTTTTCAAAATTGCCATAGCCGCCTATGATTTCTATTTAAAAAAATATAAGTTTATCTTATTACGACTAAACTGATAACTGAAAAAAATTGTTCTTCGACACTGTCAAAATTTACGGTTTGTCTCCCGTGTAAGGAAGTTTTGACAACTGTTTGGCATTTCTCAATACAAAACGTCAAATTATTTTAACAGATTTAAAGCAAGTTTTTAAACTTAGAGTCAACAAGGCTTACCTTGTTGACTCTAATTCGAAGAATAAAATGTTGTATTCCACTCGTTTGAGTGTAAATCGGACGCTTTATTCCACCTCGTAAACCACTCGTTACACTCGTGGTTTAAAAATTCACTCGGTCAAATAAAGAGTCCGATTTACACTCAAACTCGTCGAATAAATAACTATTATTTTTGACAAATATGTCAATAAAAAAATACCACTTAACCCTACCTAAATAAAGAAAATCGGTTCACTTAGCTATGAACAGGAGTGGCGTGAACAAATATCATGTCGGCATTGGTGTCATCAGTTCAAATTATCTAAAATTTTAAAATGTAATGGTGGTTTTATATACCTTATCATTCCCTAAAATTATGCGTATAAAACTCACCCTGTATGTTCTCTATATAGAACGATCTTTGACGGAGTGTCAATTTGACAATTAAATTTGTCAAAGATATGTACTCGTATGTCTTCTCCAAGAATGTTCAATTATGATTTTTTATAAATTAAGTGATTAATGTTTTACTGGTTGTAGTCAAACTTCGGCAAACTGGTAGTTTTATATGAATCAGTCTGTAGCTGACAGGTTGAAAAAATATAAAGTGTTAATTGACAAAAGGAAAACTGATTTGTGATTATCACCCACAGCTTAATAAAAACATAAATGTATTATTTTCGTCTTAATGATTTTCATAGCGTTTAATTTATAATGAGACTTAAATTCCAGAATAACAAAAACAAGATTAGATTCTTGTTAACAGTTAACTATAACACGAGCTTAATCGTAAGTCAGATTTAATATACTCTCACAAAGTTAAACAACTTGAAACTAAATTACGTCATTACGTACCAAATGAAATAATTTAACTTTTGATTGCAATTATAAATTACAATAATCATGTTACTTACTTGTTAGTTACGATAATCAGCGTTATAAATCAAAATACATATATATATTTTTTAAACTAATCTTAATTGTAAACGAATCCAAAGTTTGTTGTGTGGGCAAATTCTAATACACTTTGTTTCAAAGTTTCAAAAACTGAAGATCTTCTCTATTCGCATTTATTGATCTTTCTTTTAATGGCCACAAATAAACGTCCTCATAATTTCATTGGAGCAGGATCCAATAAAAAAAATGGGTTCAACAAGATTTCGAGTAAATTTATGTGCTCTGAAGACAGCTCTTATGAATTATTCTCTGAAGGCCATTAATTTTTATAGAGAAACGTGTACTAGCAAAAAAAAACAAGGAAATCTCATAAGGTTCGATCGGTTCGTCTTCGGGAAAATTTGATATACAATTTTTAATCTTCCATCCCGACTCATAAGTAAAGCAAAACATCTGAGGACATTTTCAAATATAAATACGAACTACGAGTACAAGGAAAAAAAATAATCACAAAAGTATCGTTTGATTAAATATTAAGTTATTGTCTTCGTATGAAAAATCATCTGTCAGGTGAAAAAATATAAGAGATGAACTCTCGTTGGAATAAAACAGAGATTTGATTGAATTTCAAGAAGGAATGACTACCTTTGATTTTACTTCGTTTCAATTCAATAAAATCTGCTCTCATGTTTATTTAAATGGAGTGATATATTAAGTTAGGGTTTGAAAGAAAGATATCTCATGTATCGATAAGCATCCAATTTAAATAATTGAGTGCTACTCAACGAACCGTAAGATATGCTAAACTGCAAATATTTAAAAACCCAATTTCATAAAATCAATTCAATAGTCGCCGCGAAAACAAAACTTTGCACTCGTGTATAATACAAACTGAAAAGCTTGAAAATTTCATCAACGAGTCGAGGAGAAAATAAGAGTGTATGTCATCGAGTTCGAAACTTCTGACTTGTGCATTATTCAATAACATTAAAGCACGGAGAATCTTATTAGAAATTTGTCCTCTTGAGTTATCGCACGAAAAGGCAAAAGTATACGACCTCCTCTGTGTTTGTGTTCAAACTTGTTTTGTGTCTACAATTCCGGCCACAAACATTTCCAGTCTTCCACAAAATTTTAGTTAGTTAGATAAAGCGAAAATTTACTATTTGCGTTCTACCAAGATTAAATTTTATTTCCAAGTGATAGTAAAATTGGAAATTTCAATTTTATGGCTGCTCAGTGTTTTTAGGTATTATGCTTCCACTCATCATTGACTTGCTACTTTTATTGTATGTGTGGGAGGATGTAGGTTTGTGTGAAATATCTAATGTGACATTTCAAAAAATTCTCATCTATTTAGATATAAAAAACGCCTCAACTCCATTATTTTTAAAGATACATTATACTTCTTGGAACAAAGTTGCACAGTTTATTGTTAACTATTTATATTGACTGAGCGTGTATCCCAAAAAATTGCTCAAAATAAACTCTTCAACTTTAATGAAAGACGTATTGTCATATCTTTAAAAATAATAAAGTTATAGGTTGGGACGTTTTAATAATCCAGCCTGATTATATAAATGGAAATGCAAATGGAAACTATAAGCTTTATTTATCGTAAAAGAAATATAAGTACATAAAATTGCTTTCTATATTAAATAAACCTTGAAAATTCACTATTAAAATATCTTTACCTTTATTTAAAATATGTAGTTACATTTTTTTAAGATATCACAATTCACCACATATTCTGTTAAACACTGTGGGTTAGACCGTGGTCAAAAGTTTAAATATCACATGAGCTTAGCTTAATAATTTATCGACCTGCGGTCTGTAGACAACACTTCAAACGTCAGTTAAAATTTTATTAAGCAC